AGGTTCAGAGACTGGCAGTGAGAGTGGTGCAAGTGACATTGGTCAGTCAGACAAGGACGACATCCAGAAACCCAACAACAAGAATGGCTCCAATAATGCCAACACCGCTGGAAGCACTATGTCTTCTGCACCACCCAGAGGTTCACAGGCCCGGGTCTTTACCCCCAGGGGTGTACCCTCTAGGAGAGGCAGGGGTGGAGGTAGTGGAGGAGGAAACATGTACAGGAGTAGTGGCAATGTTGGAGGACCCCCAGGAGGACACAGAGTTGGACACAGCTCAGGTTCCCATGGTGGTTCCTCAAAGACATCAGCATCAGGCCGGAAACAGCAAGGTCCGCCACAAAGCTCTGGGCCCAAAGACCTGGGCCGGGGAGGAAATAGTGGAGAGAAGAAGGACAAGATAGCTGATGCAAGTCAAGCTCAAACTCAGGGGACCAATCCCCCTCAGCCATCTTTACCTGCCACAGCTCCTGCCACACTAAGTTCCACTGAAAATGGAGGGGTTGTCACTCCACAATCTTCAACCAACCCTACATCAAACCCTGGTGCGCCAAATACGCTCCCTCTTCCTGATAACCGTGGGTTCCCTCCCAGTGGGTTTGAGCGACCCCCTAGACGCCGCCGTCATGGACGTTCACAGCATCAGCAGGACAAGCCACCCCGCTTCCGGAGACTGAAGGAGCGAGAGAATGCTGCACGGATCAATGGAGGAGTTGGGGTCATTGGTGGTGGAAGGCCCTCATCTCCTTCCCTGAATTCAGTTCAGGACAGTAATGGAGCCCCCATCTCAGCTCCCGTGACGGGCAATACCCAAAATGCTAACCACAATGCCACAGTAACCACCAACAATAACAGCGGCGGGGGGCATATTGGTAATGCAAACAGTCATCACCATCACCACTACAACCAGGGCAATGCTGGGACAACACACCCCCAGCACCACCACAGCCATGGAGCAAAGTCCCCTGACTTCACCAATCAGAACTCCGACCAGGCCAACGAGGAGTGGGAGACCGCCTCCGAGAGCAGTGACTTCACAGAGTTCAGAGACAGGGAGGGAGGAGGAGGGAAGTCATTCTCCTCTCACCATCACCACCACATGGGAAGGGGAGGAGGGGGCAGCGGAGGAGGAGGTGTGGTCGAACGAGAGATGGCGGGAAAAGAGCCTGCAGCGAATAAAAGAAGCTTCTCCAGCCAGCGTCCTGGCATGGAGCGACAGAACCGGAGGGTCAACCCTGGAGGCGGCGGGGGCGGCAGAGGCCCACGTGGACCTCCTGGTGGCGGCTCTGGTGGGCCTGGTAACGGAGGCGGCAACCGCGGAGAGAAGCGTGGCAACTGGCCCTCCCCGAAAAATAGGAAATGATGGAATAAATCAAAACATTTCAGACGTACCCCACCCACATTGATACCCACCATCCTACATCCCAAACCCTTTTGATCATTATTTCATTGTTTATCTGTTGGCTTCCCTAAACACATTAGTGTATTGTACAGTACATGGAGATGGTATTCACCTTCACTTTAGCTGCCCCCCTCCTTCCCCGGTCATCTTTTCCTTTTGCATCAATCAACTATCTACCGTCCGTTATTGTAAATTTCTCCGTTTCTTCCGTCTTGCCCCCACCCCCCACCCCCTTATCCTCCCTCAAGAGTCTCACCCCAGTTGGATTTGACGAGCATGAGGTTCTGAAATGGAGGTGCATGTCGTTTTGACAAAAGACGTTCACACACATCTCCACACATACATCAACAAGCACAAATATGACATCTTTAAAAACAAAAAACAAACAAACATGGAACACATGCAGTCCTATGGGTGCAAAAAGAAAATGTGGGATTAAATTGGCATAAATGGATTTGGATCGGGCTAATTTTTATATTTATGTACCTGTGTGTATTTCTACCACACTTTGGCCTTGGGTGGTATTTGGTAGTGCAGTTCTGCATCGCTTGCCTCACAAAGGGAAAGAGTGCAGCTTCATCTTTTAACATGAACAATGTACCATAAGAGGTTTTGTTTCTGAGTAATTGTTTTTCTTTTGGCTTCGGTCAGTCGATCTTCAACCTCTGACTGCAGGGGTGTGTGTTTTTTCTTCAGCAAAGCAGGTCATTAAAAAAAACTTTTTACAAAATTCCCCTATTCCTCCTCTGGGTGACTTTTTGGTCTCCTGTAACGTATGTCTGATTACTGTGATAAGACCCATGAATAACTACTGCTCAGTGCTCACTTACACTTGTATTGATTTGTCTTTAATATCTATGTCTCTGCTGCTTGTTCAAATAGACGGTGTGAATTTTTTTCCCCTTGTTGACCTGCTCTCACATTTCACTAGCTGTTATTGGTTGATACGGTTTTTTGGGGTGGGAAAGTTTTTTTGGGGCCTCCTCGTAGCATCCTCCTCGCCTGCAGAATTTCTGCATCTGCAAAAATCAGACTTTCCCCCCAGGGAAATAGTTTTACTCTCTCTCTCATTCATGAGTTTTGTTTACCCTATGAAGACTGTATTAATAGAGTGATGGCTTTATTTTAACAACCATTATTTCCTCAGTAACATACATTTTTATGGAAACACTTTTTTTTCCCGCCCTCAAGGTAAATAACTGATCTTTTCAGGGGGGAAATCGGTTTAATGAAAATGTAGGTCCTGATAGAATAAAGAAAAAAAAAAGTTTGACTTTTCATGAAATTGTTTATGCTTCAGTAGATAATTGATCATGTTCTATTAAGCACTCCTTAGTATAACAAAAAAATCCATGGTTGCTGTTTTTTTCTCTTCTATTTCTTTGTATTAAATGTTTTTGGGCAAGTTACATGTGATGCAACAAGACAGGTACTCTGTCTGGGCCCAGAGTACAGAGCCAAGCTGAGTATTGTACTTTTACACCCCCTCTGCTCGTGCCGCGTCGCACTCTCTGTGCTTTAGTGGAGACTCCTCACACCAAGGAGTATGACTACCTTGTCTGTGGAAGTATTTTTCAAAGTGTGTGTTCTCGGGATGGCTGTCTCAGTGCAAGGTGGCAACCAGTAGCTCAGACCAATTGAATTCAGGACAATGCTGAAAGGACGACCAACGTGTCACCTTCTGCTGTCCACCACACAGTTTTCTAAGAAATAATGCCGACCTGGAGTGTAGAGGGAATATTGGATTGATGTAGGATTTCACTTGTAAACATAGTTTGCATCACATGAAAGAAGTAAAATGGCAAAAAAAAAAAGCCTGGAGACAAAATCCAAGGTGAAATGAATCAATAACTCATCTGTACCTATTCTGTCACTGCTGTAAGTTGGGGTTTGTTTGTTTACTGACAACAGTTTGGAGATTGTCTCTGGGATGTTGTGAGTAGGGCATTTGATGATTTGTGTGCGCGTGCTTGTGTGTATGTGTCTGGCATGTGTGCGGCATGTGTGCATTTTCCAGTGTCTGTGTAATTCCTCGGGAAGGGGTGGGGACCAGAGGGTTAACATGAATGGCAAGCACTTTCTGCCTTGTTTGCCCCCACTTGATTTAACCAATATTATTAAGATATTCTGCCGTTTCTTAAATACATCCACATATATATACATTCAGCTGTGTGTATGTGTTCATCCAAATGAAGGACACGCAGTAGAGAACTTCACCAGTTTTTTGTAGAATTTAAGCACATTCTTCAGCAGGCAAGTGAAGTTGGACATATTTTATTTTTCACTATGACTTCTAAGCATGAACACACACCCATGGGTGCAGCTTGCCTTGCCTGTTACTGGTTTATACATTAATAGCTGTACACTTAACACTGGCTCAAAGAGTCCTTCATCCCTCCTTAACTCTTAATGTTGATGTGCGCATTATTGTATGTACCCATGTTAAAAGAAAACAAAAGTAGTGTATTCCAGAAAGATTACTCAAAGATTGTACTTTGTTTCCAGCATTACCAAGGTACCTGGAGTGGTTCAAACTGTTTTTAGCATTTATGGTTTTATTAATGGAACTGTAATATACACACATGTATGTATATTGGTATGTATCTAAGTTTGTCTACCCCAACTTACATTCCCACAAACAAATGTTGCCATTTTTAGTTCAAGGGAGCAATGTACAAGCAGAGAAGTGTCTTATTATAATAAAGTTATACAGAGAAGGCAAAGTTAAATAAACTACTTTTGATTTAATGGAAAATGTAACTTGCACGTCTCATTCTTCTCCAGTGGATGAAGTGGAATATTTTGAACTTTTGTCACTGCATGTTTTCACTTGTCACAGCAGGTTGAGTACAAGTTCAATTTACAACGACGGTTTAATTAATTGTTGGTCTAAACCAGCTGGAGTCAAATCTGGTTACACTTACGTGTAATGAGCTATAATTAACGTCATGAGTAAAACCTGTTTTTGACCAAAATGTGTTCCATAAAAGGAATCTAAGAGCTTTGTCCTCACATTTATCTTTTAAAGTTAATACAATATGGCTATAAAATGGTGAAAGATTCCTGTAATGATTTCCAAACAGCCCAATGTAATGTCTTTAAATGTTCAATCAACAGACTGAAAATACATATATATATATACATATATATATATACACACAATATTTGGCATTTTGCGTGAAAGAATTAGTGAGTTAAATTTCTACCAATTGACCAAACATGAGCTGTTATTATAAAGGCAACTGCTCTGTGACGAAACATAATTTATGAGCTCTGTAAGTTTTGCATGGAAAATCTTGATTTGTTTAAGAAGTTACAGAAAGTGGCACAATATCAATATGAAGAAGAACGATAATGAAGTTAAAGCGCTTCAAACGTCACTTCAGTAAAGACATTATAATATAAATACAGTAGAGAAGTCTGAGAACATTTCAACATTTTAGTTTTAAGTTTTCTTATCATCAATCTGCACTACATCACAACTGTTTCCCTTTTCTTTTTTTTATTTGAAAGAACAAAACGTGAGAATCTGCTGAATTTATATGAACAAAATAACGTGAAATACTGATGATGACCGATGGGTGGCAGCAGTCAGACAGTCAGCCCGGTACCCTGCAGCGGAGCGACTCAGCGGAGGAAGAGGAAGAAGCTGCGGGGTGAACCGGGGCTGGAGTCCATTTTATTTACACCGGTGAGGCTGCTACATTTTCATCTGTCGGGTTTTTCAGGAGCTCGCAAGTTAAAAGTCGGTGAGTTTTCACAATCAGCCACACACCCGAGCGTGTGTGTGTACACCCGGAGTCCCACTGAGCTGTAACACGACACCGTCTCTGTCGGGAGGCCTGTTTCCCGACGATGCGCCATATTGAACCTCACACTAGCCTTTAGCAGCGGTTAGCCCCCTGCGAGCTAACGGTGGCTACCTAAGGTTAGCGGCGTGTCGTCGCGTTCGGCCTCTGTAAACCGAGACTATTTATAATTTAGCTTTGAAATCAAACGTGTGTGACACGTTTGAATGCCCGCACTGTCGAGACCAGTCTAGCTAGCAGCGTAGCGGAGATAACGCTAGCGTGCTAATTAGCCTGACCGTCATCTGCTATGTTCAGCAACTATCTCCTCCTGCAGCCAAGTTACTGCTGCTGAGGCGATGTTTCAGTAAATCCCGACTCGTTTCACTCACGACGCTAAAGAATCGCTCCTGGTGAGAAGTGGATTTGATTCACTCAGTCTGAATATTAAGGTTTGTTGACAAACAAAAAGGAAGAGACACGTAAAAACTGGAACGAGTGTTTTGGTAAAACAAGATTATTATTTTTGCCTGAGAACAACCACTTCCATTTATTTTGGGAGCCAAACACATCCCATAGTATGAAAGCAAGACGTGTTATAGTTAAATTCTATATTCACACATCTAAATTCATCATATTATCCCTGTAGATTGACATCTCTTTACAGAATTCTCCATTTCCTAAGATTTGTTCGTGCTTTTCATTTGACACACACTAAGTGAATGCACGTGTGTAGTTGTAAATCAGTGGTGATGTTTCTGACTAATCCCTGGATCATATCTTTGTATTTCTGCTTTTCCGTTGTAGGTGTTCAGACATGAGCAGTTCAGAGGAAGTGTCATGGATCTCCTGGTTCTGTGGACTGAGGGGGAATGAATTTTTCTGTGAGGTGTGTTTACAGCAACACAAATAGTGACTTATTGTTTATTACCCTCCACTGTCACATTTCCCGCCTTGTCACCTACAACCGCCCCCCCCCAGACGTTGGTCAATAGAAAATTCAGCTTCAAACTATTTCTTATTTATCACACATGACAACAAACTGAATATGTTTGGGTTTAATGGACAAAACAAAAAATCTGAAGATGTCACCTTAATCTTACTGTTTACCCAGGTCCTTCATCAATACCTCCTGAAATTATAAGTACGGGGAAAACTGTGGAAAACACAAACTCAGGGGATGAGAGAAAAATCTTCTTAACAAGTTACAAAATAAGGTCAAGCAGCTGTAAAGAATTTATAAACCTTGTAAAGTATGTGAATCCGAATTTTACGTGGTTTTCATCTGCTTTCATGGAAGAGACGATTCTGTGATGGAAAAATTCCGTTTTTTTAATTTGCTGCTTCGCACTTTGTGTTTCTTTATCTGACTCTATAGGTTTCTTTTAATATTTCCTACCAGTTTATCTTTTCAACCTACATTCAGTTGGATGTGGATTCAGATATTTGTATGTTCAGGAATGTGATTTCATTTCACTGCATTAGCCATTGTTGGTCGTGTTTACAACTCCTTCAGTTTATATTGGCTTAGGAGTAATTACAGAAATTAATAACACTTTCAGATGCATTTTTGCATAGACACAGTTGAAAAACTCAACCACATGACACTCTTAATAAATAATCAGGTGCCTGTTTCTCTGCTGACAGGTGGATGAAGATTACATCCAGGACAAGTTCAACCTGACGGGGCTTAATGAGCAGGTTCCTCACTATCGCCAGGCCCTGGACATGATCCTGGACCTCGAACCAGGTCTGTAGTACTAATATCTGTATTAACTGTTTCCTAAATGTTGTATAAACATCAGTATTTTTCACTGATCATTTTAGTCTATAGGTGAGACAGAATCCTCCCATACATAAACACAGAAACAGTTTTAAAAACATGTATATTGTTGAGAGTAAATGTTTATTTTACTTTTATTTATCAGAAAACGTGCATCAGAGATCAAGATGTAGGATTATTGGAGCTGCAGGCATTTCATGATCGTAGCGTGTGCTGCACTTTTAATCTGTTGTTTTGTTGCACATGTTAAAAAGATCTGTTTAGCCTGAAAACAGCCTTTTGTTTTTAGTTCAGCTGCACGTTGCGTCTCTACATTTCAGATTACACATACTAACTAACAGCACGGGTTCTTTTCCATATAAATCAAGCTTTAGTTGTCTTTGTTTTATGCCCTTTAAAATATTCATTGATGATTCTACAAAAAAAGAAAATATCGAACAAGAACCCACTCTGTTCTATTGTCAGTGTTTCCTGTCCTTTTGATTCTTAACTGCCAGAAGTAATCTGGACTTTATCAATCTTCTCTTTTTCCTCCCATGGTTTCCGTGTTTAGACGAGGAGCTTGAGGACAATCCCAACCAGAGTGACCTGATCGAGCAGGCAGCTGAGATGCTGTATGGCCTCATCCACGCACGCTACATCCTCACTAACCGAGGCATCGCACAGATGGTAAGCAGCAACTGCGTCTGCAAAATCCACCACTCTGGTTTCCATTAAGAAAGATATTTTCCCATAAATTGTTCGTTTTCCTGCTGCAGATGCACAGTTTCAGAGTAGATGAAGTGCTTGAATGAAGTTTGCTACCTCACTTCATTTTTTTAAATCCTAATTTGTCCCTGCAGTTGGAGAAGTATCAGCAGGGAGACTTTGGCTATTGCCCTCGTGTGTACTGTGAGAATCAGCCCATGCTTCCTATCGGTGAGTGTTAACATTTTGTGGTTTTATTTTACAGTAATAGACGCTCTGATACCATTGCGGTCACAATGTCCATGTCTTTACATATGTAAAACATTTTATCTTTTCAGTACTTGCACACACGTTTACGAGTTGCTTTTATCAGTGGATGTATGTAAATAACCTCCACTTTAAGTAGTTGGTTTCTATTCAAATCTGAATTTACATAGAAAATACCAGGAAGGAACTTAAACTTCCTTTATTGATCTCAACAGGGGAAATTCTTTTTACACTCAATTTTTCATTTTATACATCACACACACACACACACACACACACACACACACACACACACACACACACACACACACACACAGAGGGCTCAAAGACATGCAATTTTTTTTCGGGAGAGAGATGGTAGAGTGATGGGCAGCCCCAGGAGAAGCCCCCTGTGAGCAATTGGGGGGGTACAGTGCCTTGCTCAAGGGCACCTCAGCAGTGCCCAACTGACACCTCTCCAGCTACCAGTCCACCTTCCATACTTATGGTCCATGCTGGACTTGAACCGGCCACCCTCCAGTTCCCAAGCCAAATATTTATGGACTGAGCTTCTGCTGACCTAACTATACCAGCAGTGTTAGTGCAGTCTGTATTTTAGGTTAAGCAGATTCAAATCTAATCTTGTTTTTTTTCCCCCTTCCTTTTATTTCTCATCCTCTACAGGTCTGTCGGATATCCCAGGTGAGGCTATGGTGAAGCTGTACTGCCCTAAATGCATGGATGTCTACACACCTAAATCCTCCAGGCACCACCACACAGATGGAGCCTATTTTGGCACTGGCTTCCCCCACATGCTCTTCATGGTTCACCCTGAGTACAGGCCGAAGAGGCCCGCCAACCAGTTTGTCCCCAGGTTTGTTTGGCAGTTGTTTCTTAAAGGCAGGACTCCCTTATATAGCCTGTTGCTGTAGTGAGGGTGTAGTCGTGCACATTTGCATGTTTGCACTTGAGTATTATAGGGAGTCACAGTTTTGAGTAACACAGTTGGTAGGATATTGATTCTAATGCCAGAATCTGAATTTGATCTCCATCTCATTTGTCTCAACAATCAGAGGATAACAAATATACTGTTAACTAACATAACATCCAATGGATCAGTCTCTCACATATTTTATTGAAGTTCATCAATAGAGCAATAAAATTATTTTAATCAATAGAGCACATTCTCTCTTGATCTGGCTGATAACAGCAATGAACCACATTCGAGAAACAAAAGAATAAAACATGGTCAGATAAGGTTTTGGTGATTATTATATAAGTGGTGTTACTCTGCCATGCTGTGAAAGTATTTTTCACTTCACAGTGATCATACGTTGATCTATTCATGGTCACTGCCACAATAGCAACAAAGCTCACCACAAACTGATTTATGTTTTCAAATAAGTCAAATCTTTGTTTGAGCAGCTCATAATTAATTCACCGACTGTTGACTCAGCGCTCACTCTCACACCAACATTGTCATTAGACCAGGTTTGTAAACTCGGATGTGCTAACACTCGATCATTTGGTCCTCACGAACACAAATGATGTTGGAGTTTATTTGCATATCGAGTGGTCAAGTGAGATCTGATCACATGAGGTAACAGGAGACGCATTCAGGACCCATTTTTGTACCAGGTCTGAACTCGGTTAGGTTGCGAATTGAGATCACGATTTTATGACAATTAATTTATTAATCGTGCAGCCTTCGATTCTACCGGTTGTAAAAAATAAACATGGGCAATCAGAGAAGATCCTATTTTGATTTTGGGCTTTTCAGACAAACTTTTTAAGGTTTAATTTCAGCTGATTTTTCATTTTGTTTTTGTTGTGATGTCTGTTTGCAGTAGTTAGACTTCGAAAATGTTTGCAGGAAGCGTTGCATGATGGAACCTTGATCTGGGGTGATGGGAAACTGTGACAGCCCCGGATCATGCATCACTGTTCTCTCCCTGAAAGCAAATACATCTCCGTGTCAACCATCTCATCGGTCTCACTGTGCCTGTTTGTGTTGCATCGTCTGTTTTTTTTAGTTAATATTAGTTTGTTTTCCCAAAATAAACAGTGGTTTTCTGAAGCACTCACGTCTCTGTCATGTTCTTCTCTCTCCAGGCTGTACGGGTTCAAGATCCACCCCATGGCCTATCAGCTGCAGCTGCAAGCCGCCTCCAGTTTCAAGAGCCCCGTCAAGGCCATCCGCTAGAGTGTCCACGACAGAGGAGGAGGAAGAGGAGGAAAATTCATAGAGAAAGAGGGTGAAGACAGCAAAGAATAATCGTCCGAAGAGCAGGGGGGTCACCTGTATTTTAGAGCTCTTCAGATGTCCCCTCCCCACCCTGAAGACTGTATTATTTTGGTTTAGATTAGGGCAAATGAAAACAAAGTGTAAAGATTTTTTTGAGTGTGAGCGAGACATAAAAAACGCACAGCTACGATCGTAATCACAAACATACACACACACACACACACAAACATGTAAGGAAACAAATACAACCACACACCAGGGATTCCATACACGTACCTTTCCAAACTCAGCAGTGCCAAAAACAGGAGGTGAAGTAAGATGAAGCTGAACAGTTCAGGGGCTCCACGTCGCTGCACCCCCCCATCACTCACTCTACAGCACACTGATGAGAAATGATATAACTGATCAGTGGGTGGCTCTGCAGGGAACTTCTCCCTGTTGAAAAGGTTTTTGTGTTCTGGGCTTTTTGACAGAAAGCTGCAAAAGTGCAATGGCTGAGTCTGTTTTCACCTCTGACTCTGTTTTGTGTTTTTTCTGTATTTGGCACAGTTTGGTAAAGGGTGGTGGTGGTGGTAAACCCTCTGTCATTCAAAGCCTCCTCCCCATTAGTCCCCCAATGCATGTACACTCAGGCGGGCTCTCCCACAGACAGTTTGGACAGTGGTAACGGGTGTTTTTTTTCTCCGAAGGTCGTTTGTGAAATTTGATTTGTCGGATGTTTTGTGGTGTTGGTTCACAAAACATTGTTAAATTTGCCTTAAGATGCAGAGAAAACACCTGGATTGTTTTGCTTTACAAGAGGCACAAGCAGTTTTAAATTTGTTCTGCGTTCAGGAGTTAGAGTAGAAATAGATTTAGCGAATATGATTTTCTGAATAGTTCAGACTCCTATAATTAGCCTCTTTCATTTCCCCAGCTGTCTATACGCGTGTCAAACAACGTCTGTATTGGTACCGAAGTGTGAATATAACCTGCGATGAAGTTGTTTTTCGAGAAACGCCCCCTCCCTCCCCAGCAGCAGGATTGCCTGTGTTTGCATCGTTACCCTCCCTCCCTCCCTTCGTAGCCTTATCTCCCCCTAAGAACATAGTTTGACCCTTGGGGAATACACAAGATTAATGGTGCTTGTGTCTGTACGGTAAATATGAAGCTACTGCTAGTAGCCAGTTGGCATAGATTGAGAATCCCTCCATCAAAACCTCTAAAATCCACTAATTAACTCGTTACATCCCGGGTGGTTAACATTTACAACAACGTAGAACGGCTATTTGTCATCTAGCATTTGCTAGGCTAGCTGTTTTTTTAAATTAAGGGTTTAAATAAATTACTGTTGAATAGTGGGATTTAAAACTCGTCCTTATGTTTCACTTATTCGTATAAAACCCAAAACGACAAATTTCTGTGTACAGGTGGTTTGGTCTATTACGAAAATAACTGAAATAACAGTGAACGTTCAGATTAAACTAAGATGCAACCTTGTAATTATTGAGCTATGTTAGCTGGATTTTATTACCGTTCATAATAAAATCAATAATAATGATAAGATCGAGACTAGCAGTTTACTAGTTTCCAGTTTTAATGCTAAGCTCAATCAACTTGCTGCTGGTTGTCGTTTCAGATTTAAGTGACAGATTTGAGTGGATTCAGTCCTCGCATCCAACTCCCCCTCCGTGGAAAAAAAAAAAAAAAAAGCTTTCCCAAAATGTCAAACTAGTTGTGTAAAGATCAAGCAGGAGACTCAGAGAAAGAGGAATTTAGACAATCTGAATCCTTCCGCTCACTCCACCACTGCACTGATCCATCCTCCTGGTGTCTCTCCACAGCCGTCTCATTATTTATGTTCACGTTTCGAGACCGACCGATCACCAGCCGCCAGTTTTTGTTTCTGAAGCAGTGGGGGAGGGGTAGATGCTCAGCTGCCCCCCCACTCACTCTCTCTCTCTCTCTCTCCTCTTTTACTTTTGTGTGACTGGAATAGTTTTTTTTTTTTTTTTTTTTTTTTTTTTGTTTGTTTTTGGATTCCATGATACAAGAGGAAATGTATTTATGTGTCCAAATGATTTTAACTGATGTTTGCTTGTGTTGTCGTCGTCTTTCTGCGACTGTGGGTGAGCAGGATTCAGAATTCTCAATAAACTTCTATTTTCTTTTCATACTCCTTTCGTACCATTTTCTTTACGACTGCATCTCTGCTGGTTTGGCACATGGTGTCAGTAGAGAGTGGTACTTTGAAAAACCCCAATTTTCTGTCTCCATATTTCTGAGAAACTTCTCGGAGTTTGTGTCGATCTAAAAACACAAAAAACATCTGTAAAACAAACAGCTCTACCTCCATCTTTTGCACGTGTGTGTGTGTTTTGGAGCTTGGAGGAAGATTACCGTGGTTACCAGGGGAATTACAGTTGTCTGACTTCTGGGTGTGGCCACACTAACATTTCACATGACTCTGAGTAACTGCATCAGTGGGCAAACACACACACACAAACAAATATACGCCACTGAAGTGCACACATGGAATCATGAGATCTCAGTCATGCATCAGTAATTTATTTTTAAATTCAATTTTGGACATTTGATATAAAAAAAGAAAGAAAGAAAGAAACGTCAGAATGGAAATGGAAAAATAAGGGTAATACATTTTTAAATTTGGGATATGCTGCACCTAAATCCAGTTCAATCCCCGAAAACACCTTGTGACACAAACACTGGGACGCTCTATGGTATATGGCTTCTTTTTGTATGACTCATAAAAACAGCTCCTGCACGGCAGCTGTCTGTGGAAAAATGACTGGCAGGCCTGAGCTGTCTTCATGTGGCCGTGCCCTGTCAGTTTTTCCAGAGGGGAGAAGAAGTGGAAGAGGAGGATCCCTCGTGACTCAGGATAACCTCAACCCGCAGCTCGGGACCTACCCTTCTCTTCTCCACCTCCCCCCCGTTTTTCAGCAGCTCCTTCAAACTGAGTGAGGAGGACTCGCCCCAGTTTACCCTGAAGTTAATGGCGCAGTGTGTAGAACTCAGTGGTGAAGTTGCATGTTGCAGCTGAATACCTCTCAGCTCACCCTCCCCTTGGAACATGAAAGAGAACCTGTGGAAACCTTTAGGTGCTAAGTTTGTCCAGTTTGGACACATGGTGGCCTCCGTAGAGAGGAAAAGTCGTTTTCCAGAATAAAAATCTCTTCAGTTGAGCTGCTCATCCTGCAGCCGTGTGAAATACTCAGCCTGAGCTCCGCCACACCCAGAGGGAACATTGCACCATTTTCCTCTCAGAGACTGTTTTGTTGGGATGCTCCTCTCGACAACAGATACGACTATTGAGGAAAAATGTCGGCCACAGAGACCGAGACCACATGCAAAAACAATTCTTTAAATGTTGTGCTGCTGCAAGAGAATCAGCATTGAGTGTCTCAGGCTGTGGAGAGTTTTACAGATTAAAACATGTTTGAGCTGATTCTCCATTCCTCTGAGAGAAGCTGGACCGGCTCCGTCAGGTTTCACAGGGATCACTTGTAAACAGCCACAGATTCTCTGTTTGGGTTGAGATCTTGACTCCAACATTCCTGCCTAGCTTCGGCTTCACTCTTTGGTTCAGTGACTCAGGTGACGGGTCTCTATCCGATGATTTTATTGGCTGAGGGAAATCCCTGCATTTTGCTTTGATCGTTTTAGCCTCAAGCCCGACAGGTTTTTTATTTTCCTGCAGAAACACATCTCCTCAGCATGATGCCACACCCACTGAGCCTCACACTGGGGAACTGGGAATGCCCCAATAAAACGATGATGTGCCGTGTTTGGCCAAAAACCTCAACACTGGTCTCATCAGACTAAAAAACATAAACCCACTTCAGCTGACTTTGGAGTTTCCAACAGGCCTCTGGGGAAACTGCTTTCCAGATGCGATGTTGAGGTCCAGATGGATTGAAATGTAGTTTGGTGAAGCCGTAAATGGATCCCAGTAAATAAATGGTAAAGAGTAGTTTCCTTTAGCGCCACCAGCAGGTCAATGTTAATACCTAATGGATGGTTACATTTTGAAAAGACACAGTGAGCATCACTATTCCATATCGTAATGATGCCACTGTGACCTTTTTATGACATCACTTATATATGTGATGATGGAGAATGATGTTCTGATGGAGCTCAGATTGTGACTGCCGTCTCATTATTTACGGAGATATCTTGAAAAATGTTTTTCTCCGACCATCATTTTGCAGTTAAACATCATTTTTGTGTTCATCAGTGAAAAAAAGTCACATCAAATCCACAATATACAACAAAGAAACATGTAAACGTTCACTGTTTGTTGCCAATCGTTAACTTTCCCGCTCTTGTTCGACCCCGTCTTCTTTGTGCTTTTCGTACTGACTGAGCTGTTTGTCGCTGTGACTGATTGAACAGGGATTAACTGGGCTTGTTTCTCCCACACACCCTCTCCCAGAGTGACAGCAGTTGGGAAACACACAGAATCTGTGGGCAAAACAATGGAGGCATTTCACCGGCAGCACCACAGACATCCTCCCTCTCGACAAAGTATTTCAAAACCATGACTCCGAAGATGCCATTTCAAAACCGCCCCCCACCCCTCCAGCGGGAAACCAAAGAAAGCATGGCCCCCTTTTAAAAGTCACAAGCAGAGATAAGCATTAAAGAGCTCACACACAGACAGCAAACATGCATCACTGAAAACGTCCATCTTTGTGAGTGATGTGGACAAACAAACTCAGTAATGGCTTCACCCTTGGTTCTGCTAGTCACTCATTCACTAAACGTCTTTGTCATCTCTCTGCGAGGTGGATCGCAAACTCTCGGAGTCAAACAGTGCAAAATGCTCAGGGACAGGGACATGTGGGCATGACGAGACTTGCTTGTGCATAATTTTAGTCGTGCAAAAGCTGCCCTATAGAAACGTAGAGTCTGGTGAGGTGGATCCTTCACAGTGTCTCCAGGCTACAGGAGGAGAGAAGGAACCTGCAGAAACATGTCCTCTCTCTCTCTCACACACAGATTCCAACGGCAACAGCAACAGTTTGACTCATCCAGCTGCGTTGTTATCACGAGGACACACAGTGTTTGCATCAGTGATGAAATCTGTCGAAGCTCATGTTTATTTACTGTTTTGAAACAAAACTTCGCTTATCTTCATGTTTGAGATTCTTCACGTCTCCAGAAAACAGATGCAGTCGTAACGTCACTCAGTCGAGCACCGAGGCCCAACAGTCTCCTCATGAAACACATTTGAATGAACTAGATGCAGATTTTTAGTTGGATCTGCACAAAACACTCGATTTAGATATTAGTCCCATCAACATCTTTTTTTATCAAGATCCTGAAATTATTTTGTGAGAAATTAATGAAAATGTCCTATCTGGCAGAAAATGACAGGATAATGATTTCTCACTTGACCCGTACTGCATCCTCCCAACAAGTTTCATGGTGATCTGCTCAGTAGTTTTTGTGCAATCTTGCTTATTAACAAACCGACCAACAAACGGGTGGTGACTGTAAAGTGAGTAAAACCGGACTCTCCACACTTCAGCGTCAGATACTCTGACAGAGGCTGAGGAGGCACAGTGAGCTGTCTCATGAATACGACACGCAAACAGTGGCTTATTTATACGTCCGTTAGTTAAAGAAGAAAAAGGGTTTTCTGAGTTGAAGTCCCATAGTTAATCTTTTCATCTTAATCTATTTTTCTCTACCAGCTCCTGAGGGAAATATCTGGTTCTTTTAGCTGCTTCATGCTCACAAGCACCAAATCTCCCCGTGCACTTCGGCCAAGAAAGTTAAGTTTTCACCCGTCTGCTTGTTTGTTTGTTTGTTTGTTTGTTAGCTGGATTACGTACAAGCCACTGAACGTAGTTCTATGACATTGAGTGAAAGGATGGGACACGGGCCAGAAAGGAAGCCATTACACTTTTGGGGCAGATCCAGGAATGTCTTCATCGCTGTCTTTACCACTGTGAGACGAGGGTTTTTTTTCAGATACAGATATCCCTGGGAATGATTCAGGGATTTCGATGGGGGGAAAAAATCTGGCAGGTTTTGGGAACTGATATCTATGGGTGAAATGTTTTGCAGCTTGATTAAATATTAAGTGACTGGTAGAGGTGCTCTATTGAATTCTATTGTTATTTCCCTGTTGAGGTGTGTGAACAATGCAGATCTGGGATCACTTAGATTGCATTGTGTGATGTTGCACTTGAATGCACACATGATGTGAACAGCACCAAACTTTCAGCCCAGACAGTTTGTATCTGACAAAACAACCATATTGGATCTCTGGCAGATTTTAGAACTCTGAGCCACCTTTTGGTTGTAAACTAACATTGAAGCGACGCAGGAAACACAAGTACTTTCAAAGTCTTGCATTTAAATGTCCCACTTTGTTCTTTTTATGTTGATGTAAATCTATTCAAATCTAATCTTGGACATGGCACTTTAAGGCTGTGCTATGTGCTCAAGGTCAGAGACTGAAGAACAAACATGAGTTCACTGTCCAAATACTAAGTGTGGACTTTACATGTCTCAAGATTCTGATCTGGACAAAACAGCCACGTCAGCAACACTTGATTCTTCACACAAATTAAGGTCATTGAAAACTGCTTTTTAATTTTGACGATTCAATTTCCGAATATCATAGAAAGCATGTTCACATCACTATCAAGTACCTGAAGAGTATCAGATAGGAATATTCATATCGCAACGCAGTCCTGTGTAATTTATTGTCCCTTAAGAGTGGAGGAGTTGGTCAAGAAGGACAAACACAACAAAAGTACCACCAGAAACATATACCAGCAGTGTCCAGTACACATTTATAGTATTTTCCAGTACCCCAGAGGCCTTCATACAGCTGTGGTGTTTGTCATGTTGTGGCTTCAGTAGCCAGCACGCTGTCGTCTCCCCTCGAGGGAAACCTGCAGATGATGCGGATGATATTCGAGAGCTGAAACGAAGCCAGACGCAAATTAGTGTCACATCTTAGTGCTTCTTCCACAGAGCTCACACATACCTGTTTATCAGGTCGAGAACATTGTTATTCAGAATATCAAATGTTTGCTCAAGTGGGGACCGTGTCATTTTGTTTTGGACCTCAGATGCTCCACACAAGTTATTTAATTTGTGAGATGGTTTGTGTTTTAGTTTTCGTCACGTCAACTGGAAACACACAGGAGGAAGAAGATGAAAGATGACGGTCACAAGGACGAGGGCCAATATAGTAAATGTGGGCGCCTCTAAATCTCAAAGATACGTCTACTAGTGACCTCACAGATTGTTAAGAATGATTTCATCCTCCCAGAATAGTTCAAAGCAAAAAGAAATTTTGCTCCGTGTCTCTTCAGGTTTACAGAGACCAAAAGAGGAATCCCCTTCTCTTTCAGAAAATGTTTTTCTTTCTTTCAGCCAAAATATGAAAATGAGCAAACCTGTTTGTTTTTATACTCTGCCTCTAACACTCATGCTTTCCTTGACAAGCCCTTTGAATAAATTTAAATGTTAAAGTCAGCCTCCATAAAATTTACATGAAGCAAAAAATGTTTAAGCTTCATAATCTCATATTGTTTTAATGGTTTATTTAGTCTAAGTTTTCTGAACCAATCAGGAATGTTATTCTGAGACAGCAAGGCAGTATAACAGAAACTTTCCTACTTACTGTGAGATAAACTGAAGCACATCTTTATAAAATAACACTGAAGCGCAAAAACTCCCAGAAGCTACATTATCAGACATTACAGTGGATTACAGATCAGTGGTGGAAAAAGTATTTTCATCCTTTATTTTAGACAATGTACCAATACAATGAAAGTAATGTAAAAGTACTCCAAGTAGCCTACATGTTCAACTCGTTTTTAAGTAAAAGTACAGATGTATTACTAGCAAAAAATGCATTCCTACTTATCCGGTCTCTTAAAAATACTCACTCTGGGAAAATTGGCTCAAATAGACTAGACTTGGTCAGAAAGGTTGGAAGCTACTGGTTTAAGTTTTTAACAATGTGTTGTACATTATAAGTTCACAAATGTAGTGGAGTAAAAAATCTGTGCATTGCACGTAAGCAGTACTCGGGTAAATGTACTTTACTTTGTAGCACATAATGAGATCATAAAGCAACATAAATGTAATGCAAACACTGCAAATGCAAATTATAACAGCACCATAAGGGGCTAAATACAAAAACATTACTATAAAATCACTTTGGAGCAATGCACCAACACTACACATTAATATTATTACATACACACTGCACACAAACTCTGTACATGAATGACACAATGATGAGTGAAACTTTTTAGCACCATCAAAACATTAATATTGTAATGAGGCATTAGACACAACCTTCCTATTAAATCCCTTTAGAGCAACACACTGATATTGTAATGCCAACATAAGAAAATAAACTCAACAACGTGATTATGAAATGACTTTGGAGCAACACAGAAACACCAAACATGAATATTATAATAACACAACTTCAATTTAAAACACACACAAACACTTTACATGAATATTATAACACAACTTTAATTTAAAACACACACAAACACTTTACATGAATATTATAACACAACTTTAATTTAAAACACACACAAACACCAAACATGAATATGATAACAACACAACTTTACTTTAAAACACCCACAAACACTACACATGAATATTATAACAACACAATAACATGGACCCTACAACAGAACACACACGTTACCCCCTGAGGTCTCACAGCTGATGTCACAGCTGATGTCTCACCCATGGGTGACGCTCAGGTGGGAGAGATTGGGATCAGAAAAAGTGGGCGGGCGCATAGTGAGGCCTGCTGTGATTGGTCGACAGTGACGTCCGTTGGGAGGTGGACTCTTATAAATCCGGGGAGGTGCAGGAGCCGAGCAGTTCTAACGGTCTGAGTCTGACTCCTCACATCTTCCTCCTCCTCCTCCTCCTCCAACAACATGAACAGAGTCATCCTCCAGCTCGTCGCAGTGGGATTTTGCTTCGCAATCGGTGGGTTCAAACTTTGAATGTTGTGATTTATTAACAGAAACTCACATGGATCCGCTTTTATTCAAAACCTCACTAATTAAAATGAAAAGTGTGAATCCAGGTTTTTTTCCATGGACTTTGGTGTGCAGGTTTTTTTTTTTAATGCAGTTGCGTCATTTCTCTTTTTTTATTTAACTTTGAAATCAGGAGATTGTTTTAGATTTCAATGTTTGTTTGTTTTTTCTTCATATTTTCCTTTTTTGCTTCTCCAAACCCCCTCGGGACGCGTTCTGCTGGAAACACGTTTGTTTGTTTGCTTGTGTTTGTCTGTTTGTTTGTGTTTGCTTGTTTGTTTGTTTGTTTGTTTGTTTGTTTGCTTGTGTTTGTGCCTGGCTCCTGTTCTCTGCACTGGGTGTGTTCACGCTCCATGAGGACAAACCCAGCGACATGATGGATAGGAAATGAAATGTGCTTCAGGTTGTTTAGCATACTGCTAAAACTCACAAAACCAGGGATAAGCTACATCATCTACCAGTTTAATCGATGGAACCTCATTTAACTGTTTTATGAGATAAAAAAAAAAAATGATGAAGCTCTCCCTATAGCATCACATGTTTTTTTTTTAACATGAAGCTAATGATCATTGATTTAACAAGCTAGCTAAATACCCTGGATAAACAGTTACTTCAGTTAGCTAATGTTTAAAACAGTTAGCTCAATGTCCTTTTTAACAGTTAGCTCTGTTAGCTAAACAATTTTGGGGGGTAGTTGAAACAGTTAGCTAAATGTCATTGTGAAACAGTTAAAGAGTTAGCTTTGTTAGCTAAAAAGTTTTAGGGGGGTTCGTTGAAACAGTTAGCTAAATGTCATTGTGAAACAGTTAAAGAGTTAGCTTTGTTAGCTAAAAAGTTCTGGTGGGTGTGTAGTTGAAACAGTTAAATAAACATCCTGGATAAACAGTTAACTTCAGCTGAAGTGTTTCTGAGCGGGTAGTTGGAACAGTTACTGAAACACTGTGATTAAACAGTTAATTTAGTGGAAGTTATTTGGGGAGAACAGTTTAAATTGTTAGTTAAATCACTTGGAGAATTGAGTTAACCAGTTATTGGGGGAGGTTGAAGCAGTTAGCTTAATGCAATGGAGAGTTAACAGTTAGCTAAAAATATCGGAGAGGAGTTGAAATGGGAAGCTTAACGTCATTGTTTTGGGGATCGAGACAAAATTCACTTTTTATCCAAGTTGTCTTTGACCAGTTGAAGTGGCAGAAATTATAATATATAATCAGTTTAGCTTAAAGTACGAATGTGGTTGAACTTTAAGATACTTTTCTTAAGTAGTAGATAGTAAAATTAAAATTTTGGCTTGCATTCTTGAAGAAGCCGTTGATTAAAGTTAAAAGTAATGGATAAACAGTTAAAAAACTATTCTTAAGGATTGAAATACCAAACATAAGTGCCACAAATCAGTTAGAGCTTAAATCATTTAGTTAATTAATCTGTCAACAGAAAATTATTTAATTGATCAACCATTTTAATCTGATACGATCTCTAATTCAATCTAGTAATGTGATGATTTGTTGGTTTTCTTCATCATACCGAACACTACACTGAATAATTTGGGGGATTTTTGAGCGCTTTGAATTGATAAAATAAAGAGATTTGAAGTCACAGCCTTGGAAAGGAAAGATGAGATCCAACAAAACGCAGAATGAATAACTGGTTCCCACAGATGATAAAAGTAGAAGCAGGGATTGGTGTGTTTACCCTCTGTGCACATCCCAGGCTTAAATGTAAGGCTGTTATTACAGGTTGGGGCGAGGCAGCCTGTTTGTGGCACAAGGATGTTCCTTTTTGTTTTTTTCCAGACATTATTAAAAGACTGAATCATGTCCCAACCTGCCAGCCTTTACATGCGAAATTCCTCACCTTCTAACCTTGGAGCCCAAATCTCATATTCCACCTCTACAGAGCAGTCTGCAGACTGGGCACACGATAAGGCACAGTGGTTCTTCTGCTATTGTGTTTTGGGGCTATTGTGTTCCTTTTTTGCCTTCAGGAGCCCTTCGGCTCCGTTGTTTTTTTGTCTCCTGTTTCAAACCACACCCTCTCTTTGGGAGCTGTTTTCCCATCCTGGCTGCTTTATACACTTTAAGATGATGACCTGAGACGATAACTGACCTTTAGCCCCCCCAGGCCTTTACTTAAATTGTTGATTTTGACAGAACAGTGATTCATAAATGGAGATAATTGCATAGTGGGTTTTGCATCTTCCTCTAAGTCGTGACCAGGAGGTTTGAATCTGCCTTTGTTGGTCAGATTACTCAGGGGGAAAGATTTCCGAAGATGGCCAGGTTTTTCTTTTTTTTACTGAGAGGTTTCCCCCAGGCATCAGCCTCCAGAGTAATAGACAAAACACAGAGGGGGGCCTCTTCATGCGAGTTTGGTGGATAGAATCTCACAAGAATGTTCACTAGACAAGAAAATGAAATGGTAGTATTTTGTATTAATTTGATTATTATTTTTTAATCTTTGTTTGATTGCAATTCTTTAAAAAACAATTTCATTTCTGTTTGGAACTGAAATTTATCTCCTCAGCATCAAACACATGTTAAAGTTAGTTTTAGACTTCACAAGAGGAACAGTGATATCTTTGTAATGGATGAATAAATCCTTTGTTTTTGTCATCAAAGTGTAAATGACCAGTATAGATGACCACAATGTCCAGCTGATCAGATTCAAGCTCTTTAACTCCGAGCTTCCCTATGCAATGTTTCTCTCCAACAGTCTTTAGTGAGTTAACTGAATTTTCTTTCCGCATGTTGTATCTGACTTTCTCCATGACTCATTCCCCAATTACATATCGAGTTCAACAGCCCATTCCTGATGTATTATGCTCCCGTCTTTCCCTTCACCTATTGGGTGGTGGTGTGAAATGCTGTTGGGATACCAAAAGGCCCAAATATCTTCTTTTTTAGTTTTTTCCAATGACGGTCTCTGAAGTCCTTCTCATGTTGGGAGTGGTGGGGTGTCACCCTAATGCCCTCTACTGGCAGCTGCCATTGCGCCACAAATATTTCATCTGGCTGCTCCTCCCATCAGCCTGGTTAATCCCATCCATGAAGGATGTTGCCGTTGTGATTAAGAATCTACTTCACATCCAAAGGCCAACAGAGAATATTTGCAGAACACACCGGACCCACCCAGGTGTATTTATCTTCAACTTTTGAGGTTATAGTTTGAGTCCCGTAATTGTCATTACCCAATGGAGGCTTTGAAGGCTGCCGTCGCATTATGTACCTTCATATTACTTTTCACAGACTTGTTTGCATCGCCATTTCACGACATGTCTTTCGGTCTTGTCTCACGGTTGTTCTGTGTAGCTGGTTTCCAAAATGAGCTGAAACAGTAAGTAATAATATGAAACCCTTGAACTGAGCTCTGTGAAGGTGGTTTTCAGCTTGTTGGAGGCTGGATTGAGTCACTCCTTGCTGTTTCTGTTGGTCACACATTGATGAGCTCATGTTGAATGAATAACTGTGTTGACTAGAACCAACACTTATTTTCAACATAAGCTATATTTAGACCTTTGCCCTAAGGTGTAAGTCTTTGTTACAGACTCTGAGCTCTGATTAGAGCAAAAAACCCTGCAGATTAACACATTGACAACATCACAGCTCTAAATTCTCTCCAATCCAATTTCTTCTCTTGTGTCATTTGAGCAGAATTTCATTTTTTTTATTAATAGCAGCTGTTGGTCATTGCAGTGAAAATGTAGCAGCCGTTGCTCTGTGACCTGTAGTTTTAGTGAATGACCAGTAGGGAGCAGTCTAAGACAGAGACTACACATAGAAGGTCAGCGTTTGTACAGGGCCACACCTGAAAGTTTGATTTCCCTGCTTTCAAGATGGACGGCAAAACAACTTAAAAATCCTCTTATTTCAGCTGCATGTCTGAAATGCAATTATGAAATGTAATTTGTTTAAAATACAAATGTTAGAATAGTTTGAAAATAGGGACCAAATGTAAATAATTAATCATTTTGTTTTTTAAATGGGTATATTATATATATATTAAAGTTTTCCCCACAGAGTAAAGATTCAAAAGAATGAAAGATTATTTATTATTTGTTTGCATATTATTTCATAGGAAGGAAAGCAAAATCTATAATAAGAGTAGATAGAATATCTGAGGATTGTAACCTTCATGCAGTTTATTGGACCATATTTTACCTATAACTGCTTGATTCAAGGTCAAGGATTTGACTAAAACTAACTCTATTCAAGGTAAACTTAAAAAAAACCAAATCAAATTTCCGGTGAGCACAAATCATCAAACTAGAAACAAAATAAATTGTGATGTTTTATTCAAACAATACAGACGCGGTCTAAACAAGCAAATGTCGCCTCCTTAACAGTGATGGTAAGGGTGTGTTTGATTAGCTAGGCCTAAAATTATGTCCTCAAGATGACCTTTGCATCAGGCAAGGATGTATAATAGCAATGATATAATGATAATTGCATCCCTGTACTGTATAAGTACAAGGTACTGATTAAAATGTCTTTTTACTGTTAAAATAAAGAGCCCGTACAATTATTAGATCATGGGAAAAATTGACTGCACCTGCTAATGACGAAGACTTTCCATCTTTTATTCAGAGCTGGTTTTTCAAAGAGGTGTGCTGCTGCGTAGAAACAACAGAGATCAACACACAACAAATTATAAGTTGAGACACTTCTGCTGCAGTGAACAAACAGTTGTATGTAATTGACATGATTAGTGTTACTGTTCCCATGTGTCTTCATCTTCAGACTGCATTAGTTTCTCCTCACATTGGCCTTAAACAGATTATAAGATAAATGAGCCCCTGGGCACAGGCGTGTAAGTTATAAGCAAGAAACAATCAAATTCTGACATTCTTAATGTCACTGTGGTTCATTTGAGTCATAGTGATCATCATTATGTGGTTGATTTGTGTTATTTTAATTTCTTTCAATAGTAAATTCTAGCAGTTGCTTGTGCATGCGTGTGTGATTGTGTGTGTGTGTTAACTGGATGATGCAATGTTAAGATCAAGTTGATCTGGATTTGTCATTCTTGTCAGACAGCACTAGGAGAAAAGCTATTTGTGAAAGTTGTAAGTCAACATTCCGAAGCGCTGAAGTGATGCAAGGTGTGGCACTCTGCTCACATTTGAGTTGTCTGTTTTCTGTGTTTCCCAGTAAATGTTGTTATTTCATGGTTAATTACTTTGGCACAGGATCCTGACAGAGTCAGAGATGTATAGGAGCCATCTTTAATATATTTTTGGTGGCTTATTCTCAGGCAAGGCAAGTTACCTGCGCTCGGGTGTACCCGAAACCAGCTGAACAGGATGTGTTCCTTGAGTACAATGGCATGTCAAAGAAATGAATAGGGTTGTCTTACCAGGCTGTGATTTGAAAACTTTTATTTGAATCATTTTAGGAGCCTGTCATATAAACTAGTTGTTCTGTAAAACCCTTAGATTTACAGTGAGACATATTTTGGATGTCAAAAGTACCTGGGGTTTGAGACCCCTACTAATGATTTATAAATGAACTTTTATTTATATGGCTCTAGCAAAACAGTTAAAAAGTGCCTCACAATATGCAAGATGGCAAATCAATAAACAGTTAAATAACTAAGGTCATTCCAGAGCTTTGGGGCCGTGAATGCAAAGGGTCTGCCCCCTACGCAAAGATCTAAAATGTTATCTGGAGCCAGGCAACACACACACACACACACACACACACACACACACACACACACACACACACACACACANACACACACACACACACACACACACACACACACACACACACACACACACACACACAGGGCCTCCAAGGTGACCAATTCGATCTTGAAGTCAATCCTCAAACTAACAGGGAGTTGTAAAGAAGCTCAAGTGATATGATAAACAGTGGATATGAGCATTTACTGACTTCATCAGATGTTGCAGGAGCCAAACAATGTCCTTATTTTATTTTTTTAAACACGAAAACTGTTCAGCACTTTAACGTCACAAGTTTCTAAACTTTTCCAGAAGTTTGTTTATTTTTTGTCTAATGACCTCATTGTGTACTTTGAACACAACTTCCAGTCAGGTGACTGTGATGCTGAAACTGGAGCGACAGGTTTTTAAACAGCAGTTTCAATAGAGTACACTGCAGTCGCTGCATGTGTCCCCTCCCTGGCACAGACTGACTCACCCGCTCTGCAGTGCTTCAGAGTGAGACACTCAGTGTCCACTACGAGGCTTGGTGTCCCCATGGCAACAGAGAACAGTTCCTTTTCTTTTAATCTTAAATCTGTTTTGTATTTTTTTTAAATCAAAGTAAATATAATGTCCTAATTCCCAGGGATGGTTTGGGTGTTGTTTCTAAGGTGATGTTAATGAACAGAAAGCTTTTGTTAAAACCTGTTCTGAACAAAAACAATTGAATTCCGATGAATAGAAAAACCTGGCCATTGTTAACAAGAGGCACGGAACACTTGACCAGTTTCTGATTAACACATGTTTGTTGTGCCACTGGGAGTAAATGCCAGTGCAAGACTTAGTATTTCAAGTTTCTATGTAACAATTTTGAGGGAACTGAACCTTTTAGTTTTAGTAGGAAATACATGTGTCTATGTCAAATGATTCCTATGTGATCTTTTGGTTGGTACTTGAAGAGGCAGCCAACAAAGAGCTGGAAACTAATTATACTGGGAAAGGCCTGATCAACACCTGATTCATCAGCTTTGTCATGAGTCACCAATGTTCTTGGAATATATAAAACGAGATGTCCAGAGAGTCTGAGGACAAACACGTGGGTTTATCTCCCATGAAGTCAATATATATTTGATTGATCACATTGCATCTGTAGTTCTACAGAGAATTAATAACACAACTCTTAAGAAGAATTGCTTCTGCAGTGTTCTGCAACCACAGCAACAAGTAGTGTGACTTTATTTACATTTTTCTTTCATTTATTCTTTTTTTCTGTCCAGTTAATTTACATACACTTGTTTGATTGGTATAACCATAAATGTGCTGTTATTTAGAAATGTGACTTCTTAATAATCTGGTTTGTAAGAGACATTTGTAAGGTCAAAATGGAAGGAGCAACTCAATTTTGTCTTGGCAGTTGAACAAGCTGTAAAAGACGATTTACACTCAAGGTCTTCAGTGTGGTCAGACTTGATTTGTTTGCATTGATGTTGATGGATGATGAATTTGCACAATCCACAGTACTGAGGAAATCAGCCACCCACAGCTCCAGTAATGCAAAGCACTAGAAATTCCATGAAGATCTGATCATTTTTTACTTTCTCTAAAAAAATCAGTAAATACAGAATCTAGGGCTACATCGAGATGTTATAACCATTCTAGATGCAACCACTGAAACAATACACCTTTCCAAAGACACATGTGAGAAGCTGTTTCCTGGAATGAAGTTGCCCCTTGACTATTGCCTGTTGTAAAACTAATGTACACTAATTATACCTCTCTGTTTTTTCTCCTCATCTCCCTCCCTCCTTTGCTGTTTTTTGATATCAGGCCAAGCGCTGCAGTGCTACAAATGCAAATTAGGCGTGTTGAACTTGTGCATTACCTCTGAAATCACATGTACAGCTGGAGAGATATGCTTCAGTGGTGTTGGGACAGCAGGTAAGATGCTCAGTAGCTTAAACATTCACATGGGGTAACGTTTATTTTAACAAGTACCATAAAAAACTCTAGAAACCAAACCAGCTGCATTTTCAAAATACTGAAATACTAGTAACGGCAAAAATAAGGGAAATAGTTGGCGAAACAGATGTCCTTTGGCAATTGTCCTCATGAGCACATAAATAAACTTAAATTAATCAAAACGATCATCAGCTGAAGTTTTAAACACACAGTGGTATTTTGGATTTATCAGGCATGGCACATTCTCGTCCTGAGGAATGAATTTAAGTGTTTTTGAGATCAGTGTTGAGATTATAAATGTTTGCCTTTGCTCACACTAGATAAACACTCATAATCTAACTTGTTGGAGTTAAATCCTCATCATTCTTCAATCTGACAGGTTGGAAAGAAATGAACATAAAAGCTACTGATTCATAGCAGTTCACAGTCATTTAAACGTAAATGTGCAGTAAACAGTCAGTTGACTTATTGTTTTTTTTAATGGATTATATGAAAAGTAAATCATTGACATCAAAGCTACTAAATTCATTTTTCCAGAAAAGCCATTAGTTTATATGTGATAGGATTTGAACATGACTTTGCAATCAATCAAATAAAGTACAGTTTATAGTTATTGAATCATAGTTTAGCTCTGGTAACTAAAAGAGGAGTAACGAGGTCTTCACCAACTTACTAGTGCATTCCGTGTCAAACACAATGAACAAAGAACACTGAGGGTGATTGTGTGTTTGTTGTCGTTCCACAGCCTCCTTCATGGATATCAAGATGAAGGGCTGTCTAGCGCAGGGTGAATGCAACAAGACCAAGGAGGTGAACTTTCCCAGCGACTCCAACTCCACCTTCTACACCATGACCAAGACCTGCTGCTCCACTGACTTCTGCAACGGTGCGCCTGGTCTGCCCGGTGCCTCCGGGCTCACCCTGGCCTTCGCCACCATCAGTGCTCTGCTCGTGGCCCACATCCTGGTTTGACAGAAGATACAGCGGATACTGGATGACACAAAACGCACACACGCATAAACACACACATTTCATATTGTACACACACAAGCACTACCAGGCTTAAATTGAGTGCCCACCTCAGACATGAGCTCTGTGGTTTTTTAACACCAGAGATTGTTTTTCTTCTCTACACAGGCTTTGTCTTTATTGTTCTGCAGGTTCTTTTTCATTTCACACAAATGTTTATGTCAATTAAAGTTAAGTCCCTAACCTTTTTGCTGTAGGTGTCAGTTTTCTCGTTCAGTTTGTGCCATCATAGCTTAAAGGAATAGTTGTTCTGTGTGGTAGATATAAAGCTACCGCCAGCAGATTGGTTTAGCTTTGCATAAAGAGTGGAAAACAAAAGAAAAAAACGCTAGCTAAAGCTGAATTCTAGCAGCTTTAAATTGTAGTAATTATCTTTCTAGCTCACTGGGGAAAAAAGGTAATGGATTTGTAACATGGAGCCCATGATCTCATTTGTTTCCTTTAGCCAGACCCAGACTAGTATCCCTATTTACAGTTATGCTAAGCTAAGCTAACAGTTTTCTGGCTTAAGCCTCATGTTTGTCGTGTTGCTTTTCTAATCAAACTCTGAAAGAAGCAGAGAAAGTGAATTTAACAAATTTTCAAGCTACTCTGTTGTGTTTTGACCCACTGCATCGTCATTTCAGAGCCATAATATTCAAACAAATTTATGATTTATTAACCAGTTTATGGTTACTATAATTCTGAGTTTTTAACCTGTTCTATGTCAGATATTGGTTTCACATCTACGCTGCATATTACTCTTTAACTGTGGGGTAGAAGCTTCTGTTGATCTATAGTTCTGAATGTATATATCGGGCGAACGGGATTAAATGTTGTGTTTGAAGACACTGAAATGTAACTGAGATTGAACTCATTTTAAATTTGTCAGTGCTGATGATTAAAACTTCCTGAAATTCTCCTGACACTATCGGCCTAAAAGAAAAGAATGTGTTTCTGAATGTTTTCTGAGAAGTTGGATATGTAGACAATTTGAAGAATAAAATAAACACAAGTGGGGTAAAAAAACATTTCCTGTCTGGATTTGCTGTGATTTTCGATGTCAGATAAGTATCGTCCTGCAGGAACAACAGGTTGTTCAGGTTCCTAGCGCCCCTCACCAGAAGGTGAATGAACTCATCTGTCTGGATTTCAGGTTTTGACACAAAACAGGACATTCTTGGCATATAAGTGAACTATCGTTTTAAATCCAGGAAGATCCACCTGCACACAAAAGAATTCCTGAGCAAATAAGTTGGTGTCTCAAATGAAGTATGTTTTCGCTTCAGTGGTTTATAGAGGCTTCAAAGACGGAAGAGTTTGGAGATACTCAAGAGAAATGTGTGAACCAACCAGTTTAACTTAAATTGTTTTCAACAGTTCCCTGAATCAACACAATATTTATGCCACATTTGCTTTTGATTAGAGGAATCAAAGACATTGCGTATTAAAGCTGAAACAATGATTGGAGACAGTGATTAGTTTAAACCTGATTTAAAACTAACGTCAGTTATTCTTTTTAGCTAAATGATTCCTGCTTGTCACCAATAAGATTTGAGGATGTTAATAACTCGATATTTTGAATTGAGAAGAAGACATAGTTGGGATAGTGCATTTCATTAACAAGTAAATATGTGTCAGAGACTGCTTTAGTTAAATATATATCAACCTTTGAATACACAACCTTAGAAATTAGGAAAATCCTAATGAGCTTTTCTATCTCTTTTCAAAATCATGTCAACCTATAAAAACAGAAACTTGAGCTCATCATCAATAACTTGTTAACAGGTTAACAGGTACATTCTGTTCATTTCTTGGCAATGCAAGTAATGTATGTGCATCCTTTCCATTCCTTAACTCTGAGTAACTCTCTATCCTCGAGGTGAGGTTAAAGACAAAAGACTTGAAATCCCCAACGTGTCCCCTCCCTGCTGACATCCTATAAATGTGAAGCCTGACCGAGCAGGCTCATCAGTTTTTGCTCCTCACAGCATCCGAGCAGCTTCAAGCCTCTCAACAAGGATTCTTTTCGCCCACCTGAAAGCCAGGACCAAACCAACACATCAAGATGGCCAAGATCGTACTTGGAATCGTTGCAGTAATTGCATCTTTCATGCTGGGTGAGATTAATCAATCAATCAAGATCTGTCTCTATGTGATCACGGGAAAGATTTGTGTCCTATTTTCTTTTGGACAAATTCTCTGGCAGTGATTGATCAGAATTTAGCTATTAGTCTAATTGATATATTAATGACAAAATTCCTGCATACAAATAAAGTTTATTCAATGCAAAAAGTTGGTGTAAAAAGGCGGGAAAAGCTCAGTTGATAAAAAAAAGTCTGGAAACATTTTTCTAGATTCGTTTTTTGCTTTTAGTATTTTTTGTTATTTGTTACTTATCACTGTTATTTCCTCATCGGACTGCAAATGAAAATATATAAAGACATCTCATAAAGTACAAGTATCAATTCCGTTCAGGTTTGTCTGTCAGATTACAATAATTTATAGTTTATAATGATGTCACGCTGGTACATAGCATGTTGTGAACTTTAAACAAATCTGCTGTCAGCGCAACACAACCAAAGTGAATCATCAACTTAAAAAGACTCACTGAAGTCTATGACGACAGATTTCAAATCGACTTTTACTGGAAGAAATGAGCTCAATTCAAAAAAACTGTTTAATTGCAGATGTTTATCTTACATTTACATTTGGTCTGTTCTTCTTTCGACAATGAAACCAACCGACTCCTTTTAAACTCACTTTAAATGCAACTTGAAATCCTGGTTCTGTGAAACCGCACCACTGATTGACAAGGTGGCCGTTGGATTTGAAACTTTGTTTGTTAGAGTTGGATTGTTGCAGATAATCTGGGCGGGGTCTTAACAGTTTCATCTTGTGCCACAGTGCAGGGCGGGGCGGACCACAGATCATTTCAGTTCTTGGAACTTGTTTTTAGCTAAATTTCTGTTCCTGTCAACTACATCAACGTCTGTGGAGATTGTAAAAAAAGTCAAATAAATAAAAGTAGAAATCAACTAACTCTGCTTTTACTTGTGTGTTTCAGTGAACTCGCTCACCTGCAACAAATGCTCCATTAGTGTTTTTGGCACCTGCTTGAGCTCCGGCACTGTGGAATGCGCGACCAACAGCAGCGTCTGCTTCACTGGAAAGATCGGTAAGTAACCTTTGGAATTACAAAACACTCACACCCTTTCCCTTCAAACATCACACGGCAGCACAGGCGTGATTCACCCCGGTCCTTCCCAAACAATGTGACGCCCATGCAGACACACAGATCAGCAAGCACACCCCAGTGATCCCAGCTGCCAAACCAGTATCACATGTGACCAGATGCTGATACAATAACTCGTGGTAGCTGTACCAATGGAAAATAACTCCTTAACCTGAACACGAGTTTTAAGAAGTAGATGTACATGGTCAGGAAGTCAAAACAAAAGGCTTCATTTACGTTTCAGTGTTGGGCAAAAAACTTGATTCCAGTTTTGAGTGTTTCATTTACTTACATTTTAAGAAGTAAAAGAAAGGAACAAAAGATTTTAAAAGCTTATCTCATGTTGAATTTAAAATGTAAATCTGCACCAGTGTCTTTAACATCTGAGAAACTAGAGCATTTTAGGTGAATTTGGAACAGCAAAAAGTGGAAGGTAAAATAATGTTACATGTGGTGTAAAGTTCAATAAACCAAAACCTTAACACAAACCATTTCTCCACAGAGTTCACATCAGTCACCGCACTACGCTTGAACTCACAGGGTTGCCAGAATACCACCACTGGTTGCAACATGACCACGACGAACTCCCTGCTTGGCTTTGAGTACAACAGGACCATCGAATGTTGTGAATCTGAAAAGTGCAACAGTTTCACCCTTAGTGGAGCCCCAACCAACAAGCTGACCTTCACTGCCGCCATTGGGGCAGCTCTCCTGGCCTCCGTGTGGGGAAGCATGCAGTAAAATGTTCACTGCTGAACCTTCGAGCTCTGTCCGAAATAAACTCTGGTCATCATGAGTTTAAAAAAAATATGGTTTCAGTGACACTTTATTTCATATAACTTATATTCATGTCATGTTAGGTTTTGGGGTTCACAATGACTAAAGTCCACATCGTGGAGGTTGATCAATGGAATGAAAACATTGTGTTGAGCATTGAGTATGTCGACCTTCCATGTTGTTGTTTTTCTTCGTTTTGGTTTGTAATGAATACATTTATTTATCATTACACTAAATAGTTTTTACTGTAGAAAACTCAGGATGTTGAAATAAACAAAATCACTGATCCTTCACTGTTGCTTCCGCTGCCTGTTCCTTTTTTTTTACACAAAAATATTGATTTATTTGTCATCTTCATCCCCAGCACTTTTCTCCTCTAATGATTCTCTATTATCACTATTGGATAGATGGAAAAGTTAAATTACTTAAATGAAAAGCATCAGAGAGGAGACACACTGCACAGGCTGTATATAAGTGAGGCAATGTTAACCTTCTATACTGTTACATTAAGCCATTACATCATGACGTCATATATACCACATGATGATGATGATGATTGGTTTATCGAAACAAGCAGAGGATCGTGCAAATACAACCAGAAGCATTTTGTCTCAAAGTCTTGTATCCTGCACTGAGATGCATTTTAGATAACGCCTCCACAGCCAGTGTTCACCTTGAGAGGTGATTAAACAAAGTCTTGATGTTTACCTTGTGATTACATGAGGTGCCTGTTTGACGAAGATGTAACTGAGTCAGAAATTCAAGGGTATTTATTTAAAGGAGTCACATTATGTTTTTGTCCTGTTTTTATTCCGTTTAAATAGTTTGTGTCTGTAAAAATTCTGCAAAATGAAAAAGCCAAAAGTCGGCAGTGGAGTGAAAACATGGAGCTCCTGAAACGTCTTGTCAGTAGTTCATCCGACATGCTGACGCACCGTCGTGATGTCACGATTCCCCACATTTGGACGGTGTTCACCTCGCTGGTAGTCCTGCACGTCCCCTCACACAGGTGAAGCGAGAGCGGAGGCCGACATTTTGTATTTCCCATGAAGCATCAAGGGAAACTTCAATAGGCAAATAATTCAGTTCTGTTTATTTATTCTCCATCTCTACTTGGTGCAAAAGTAAAGAATGATTTACATGTTTGGAAATGTGAATGGACTTTAAAGGTACAGTGTGTAGAGTTTTGTAGAGATATGTTGCAGCTGAACACCCCTCACCTCCCCCTCTCCTTCCAAACATGAAAAAGAAACTGTGGCAGCCTTCAGTTGTCATAAGAACTCAAAAGGTTTTGGTCCAGTCTGGACTAATGTAAAGAGGACCCCCTGTAAATATAAAGTATTTAAATATAAAGGGCCTTTTCTGGGGTAAAGAAAACTACAATTCATACAATTTAGATGAAATGAACTATAGTGAAAACATCATGAGGATTATTCTACATTCAATTTCTGCCAATAGTTCCCTTTCACCTAAATCTTACACACTGGACCTTTACGTAGAGGGCGTGTCTCTTCACAAATACTTTAATATTTGTTGAGGAATTATTCAATATTGACTGAAGCTTTGATTCCTTTTGTAATCGAAAGCTTTTCAATGATGCTAATGGTTTCACAAACAAAGACATAAAAGAGACCATTGTCTTTTTCTCCCCCCCACCAGAGTTCATTACTCCAGGGGGTTGACAGAAGAAATTCAAAGGAATCAGCCTTTTGCAATCTTATGTAATGAACAATCTGAGAACCTGGCAGCACCTGTGACATAAAACCAGCTGACCAGCACTGGTCAAGTCCATTTGAACTCCTCCTCAGACTCGGACAGTCGGATCATTGATTCTCTTTGACCACCGTGGTTATTTGTGTTTGGGCCGATAGATTGAGGAACATGAGGAAGCTGCTACTGGTCTGTGCTGTATTTATGGCGATGTTTGTCACAGGTAGGCCCCTGCCTTTTTTAACGCTTTGTTACTGAAGTGATCTGAAAATAAGAACTGTTGAATGAATGATATTAAATTATTTACAATAACTAAATCGTTGATTCCACCAAAATCCTGCATGAAGTTTTCTTCTTCTTTCTTCCTCCCTCTTTTCTCCTTATGGGCATTTGATCAGGTTGGATGGGTGGCAAGAAAGAAAAAGAGAGGGGGGGTTGATAGATAAATAAATAGATATAGACAGATAGATATTAATTACGATGTGTGAAGACTTTTTTTTGCAGAATGATGCGTATGAAGCAGTAGCGCTATATAAAAAACTTTGTGGAAGCTGTGTTGAGATTCTGAAACACTGCTCTGACATGTGGTTCAAAACGGTCAAGACACGTGACCATGGCTCATTGAGGCTTCAGGGCATCACGCCGTAGAGGCGCTGGCTATGATTGTTGAAAGTGAATGAGTATTTGAACGTATCTTGCTGATCAGCAAATCCAGATTAGAACTGATAACGGTCTGAGTCACACAACTATGAAATTATCATGGAAATGTTTTTCATCGTATATCAAAATAATGACAAGAGGAGATAAAACAAGGTGTGGCTCCCTGAGTGGTTTGTGTAACTTAGAAGAAAGGAGCCTGTTCTTCCCATCATCTGACCATCCCCCTCCTAAATGCCCTTTTTCCTCTGGTCGCCAGGTGAGTCCCTGACCTGTAACACCTGCGGAGTCGGGATTGCAGGTAAATGTCTTTTCGGCTCCACTGAAACCTGCAGTGACTCTGAGCCCAACTGCTACTGCGGAAACCTGGGTGAGTGACATGACCGTCCCTTGACGGAAAAATGTTGTGAAGGGTGAGGAAAGAAAGTGTGTGTGTGTTTGTGTGTGTGTGTGTTTGTGTGTGTGTGTGTGTGTGTGTGTGTGTGTTTCTCCACCCCAGCTGAGTTTGCGACACTTACATAAACTCATTTGGTGCTGGAGTTGAAAAACCTGCCCTGACAGAGGAGTGGCTGGACATCCGACACACCTGTTCTGTCCCATGATGAGTTACAGCTCTATAGTGACAGATGAATTGCTCGGAAATTTCGGAGAGAGTCCGGGCAGGGAGTGACGTCTGGGTAGAGCAGCACGAGGCAGAACACCATGTATAAATGCAACAGCAGCCATCATGTGGTTTCAAAGACCTGTGTCTTATCTCACATATTTGTAATCTTTTTGTTTTCGTAGGTTTGTGTCCATCACGTGTTACAAACGTCATCAACATGCCCACTCGCTCACTGTGAATTTTCCTGCTGTGTTCTCACATGGGGTCACTCTGATGTTTTACAAGGAGACTCTGCCTGTCTGGACTGTCAGAGCCTCAGTGATAATATAAAGATACATCTTTCATTTTAATATAATCTCTTTCGTGTAAATCTCCTTGTCCCGTTCCAGCCTTCAACGTCAGCAGTCTATTGGGGCTGCAGACTCGAGGCTGCCTGGCCTCGTCCCTCTGCAACCAGACTGAAGCGGGAGCTCTCCTGACCGCCGGATACACCGTCACCAAGACCTGCTGCAGCACCGACCTCTGCAACGGAGCCTCGTCCGTCCAGCTCCCTCTCACTGCTGCTTTGGCCGCCGCCCTGGTGGTTGTTTCGAGCAACTGCCGCCTTTAAAACTAAAATTAACAAGAATTACAAGAAGATTTTTCTGTCTTGTCAAATTTTAAAAAACTAAACATCTTCATCCACATAGCAAACGTGTAACAGCATGAAACCTTTTACTGTACGTTAATAAAGCAGGTTTGAACCCTAAAGTGACTCTGGGAGTTATTTCCCGTAGGTTGTGAAAAGGTTGTGCTGTGAGGAATGTTTCAGTAATTGTTGGAAACTTCCGCTTCACCTTCCCACAACACAAAAGCTGACAAACCTCATTCCTGCAGGTTGTTTCACCTTTTTTTCAGTCCTGATGTCTTGTCATCTCTCTCTCAGTAGGTTACTTGACTAAGCCTGAAGTATTCAAAGCATTAAATAAAACAGAAATAAAAAATAGTAAAAGGGGAAACCGGGTGAACTTGTCAGCCTGGAACAATGAACACCTTTTGGAAAGCTGTCACCTTCCTGAGTGCTGTCATCGCAGCGGGTAAGTTTCAAACTAGTTTAACTTCCGAGGTGACTGTGCAGATTTAAACCGCCTTCACTCACAGATGCAATAATCCAAATTGTTTATTTGTGACAAAGCTGATGGATTAGTCCTCTTGGATTAGTCCTCCTGTATTTGTGTCATAAAATGTCTTTAATTCAAAATCTTTCCTGTATTATTATATGTGTGCTAACTATCGTGTTTCCCTGCGTAAAACATCAACCAACACTGTAATTACTGGACAAATGGGGCTTTAACTGGACCCAGGACAAATAGAGATAAGGTTAATGGACACGTTCACTGCTTGATAAGTCTCAGGCGGTTTCACTGCATTGCAACTTAATGACATGAGTCCAGAACTGTGTCCAGAATGTGACTTGTTTGTCTCTAATTGCCACAGAGCTAAGTGGAGGTTCCTGTTCTGAATTAATACACATTATGAGACTTGTTTTAAAGCAAAATAAACTATTTGCAGAGAATCCTTGTAGAGTTAAGAATAAAAACAGAAAATGTCCTGTTGTGCAGACGAACAATTAAGAAAATACAAATATTGAAGATAACCTGGATGCCAAGTAAATGTAATAATGTTTCTGATATGTTCAAACTAATAGAAACATTCTGGACACCATAGCACAGACTACCTGGAATTGTTGGACTTATTTTTGTTTTCTTTCTTTTCAACAAACAGCTCAGGGCCTGAACTGCCGTCAGTGTCCTCTCGGTGTGAACGGACTGTGCCTGTTCGGTAGCGAGGTCTCGTGTAATAATGCAACTGAGAGCTGTTATAGTGGAGACGCACGTGAGGAAACGTTTACAACACTGTGAACACAGACAGAGATATTAAATACAGACAGTAGAGCAGCATACAAAAATGTTTAGAGTGTCTCTAAATAGTAGATTACTATTAAGCCATTTATCAGCCGTTCAAAGTCTTATTTAAGCTTTAGTTTTGGCTGTATTGCATTTTTATCTTTTAAATTTCATGTGGAAAGTTTTAGTCAATATGTATATATGATAATACTTTAAGTGGACTTTAGTTTTACCTGATAATAAAAGTAACAATTATTATCATTATTATTACTATACATTTTCTGACATTCATCTCCATCCTTCTGTTTCCAACCCTCCAGAGTTCAATGCCACTGGGACGTTCACCCTGCACACCCGCGGCTGCCTGGACTCAGACTTGTGTGGGAAAACGCTGACCGGCAACATCCTGAACGCTGGTTACACCAGCAGCTTCAAGTGTTGCACCACAGATCTGTGTAATGGAGCCTCCTCTGTCCAGATCTCTCTGACCGTGGCCCTGTGTGGTGTCCTCCTGTCCTCTCTCTGGGGCACCTGGGAGTTGTAGTGTTGCAGGATCCAGCCCCTGTTTCTACTGATTTTGCCTGTTTGTACTAAACACTTCAATAAAATCCAAGAATCATAATTAAAACAAAAAATAAGATCTGACAAAAACATCTTTTTTATGGCAATATATATTTAAATAATCCAAACTTATTAGCAAAATTATCATCTCAACATACATCAGCAGATTTTGAAATAACGGAAACCATCTTTGGGAAACATTTGTGTGGTGTGTTGGCGATGATTTGGCTTCACTTTTGGATTGCCGTCATGTCGTCCATCTTTATATAAAGTCAGCCGCCTCAAAACTTTCAGCTCTTAAACTTGTTTGCTGTGTTTTAATATCCGGTACAGTTTTTTAATTATCAATTATCAGCGGGGGGCACCAGTTAGTCACATGTGAAACCACAGAGCTGTTGAGGAACCTGTGTGGAGGTTTCTCTTTTAATTTGTTACATATGTTAAGCCAAAGCTGCGCTGTTACCTGGTTATGAGCTCCCATCTTGTAGATGGAGTCAAAATCTCTTTTAAATTTGTGAAAAATATATATATATAAAAAAATTATATATATTATAAACATTTCTTTGATTTATAGGTTTATTTATCTGACAGTGAGGAAATAAATATTACCAGGTATCTTTTACTTATGTGGTTGTCTAACAGCCTGTTAGCTAACCAGACCAATGACAGTGTTGTTGTGTTTGGCCGAAGGGCAGGACAAGCTATAAATTATGGAGACACACAACTGGTTTGTTTGCATTTTATAAACAAGATGTGTGCTGTGTGGCGTGATGAGCTGACGACAGTTGGCAGCTACCGGTGAGTGGGGTTTCCCCACAGAGGGATGACTGAATTTAATAAACTCACCCCTTGTTCCTTCATAAACCAAGGATGCCCCCTGGTGCATGCAAACAGAACAGTATGGAACAGTGATGAGACATTTACACTCCTATCTGAGTATTCTGCAGAGGTGTAACTGCAGCATTGAGCTGTGATTAATTAACAGCCATCAGGGTATAGTTTATAGATGTATATTTTAACTAGCAATATTTAAAGTTGTTAATCAGATGTTTACTAGTTTTACACTGTCCTTTTTTTTATCGTTGTTTGAAAATGTATTCACGATATTCTTAAAACGACGTATTTCCAGCTCTGTATGTTGGAAATTAACCAATTTTGAAGAATTATAGTTTTTCTCATACACCCTGTGTGAAAACCTGTGATCAGTTGAAAAAGCTCTTTCACCAAGTGAAGTATCTCTGTCTGTCAGACTCCTGTCGGTCCCTGGATGCCAGTTTGGGGCCCAAGACAAGAAACCCTGTTAAGTTAAGGTTTCCATTGTTTATAATACATGTTCATTGAATGCAGATGAACGCAGAAGAACTTTCCTTACAACACTTTATAGGTTGTCCAGATTTCTGGACCAAACTCAAACAGTTTTTCATGTTGAGTTCTATCGTTGAAGGCAGCAAATAAAGGAAAGCTAAATAGCTCCCTCTACTGGTCCCTTACTGCACTGCAACTAGTCGGTACTGAACTGAACTGATCTTTTCACAACTTAGATATTTTCTATTTTGTGTTTGTACATCTTGAGTTTTGAATGTGTTCTGTGATGTAGCAACACTTCTAATGCCTTCAGTTGTCTTATGTGTTTCCATTGTGTTTTTGTTTCTGTTTGCATCGCAGCTAAATGAATTATATGATCTAATACAGGAAGAAAACATAAATAAATACAAATTCTGATGCTGATTTTTTAATGTTGTGCATGTTCCTCCTGCAAACATTGAGGAGGTGGAGTTTATGACCGGCCACCAGGGGGCGTTTGAGACAATCTGGCTTCACTTTTGGGTAGCTGTCATGTCATCCATCTTTATATAAAGTCATCAGCCACTACTAAACTTTTGTCCAGCTTTTTAATATCTAGCACAGTTTTGGATTTATCAGCGGAGGAACCAGGTGGCCACATGCGGAACTGCAGGGCTAGCTGAAGAGGAACCCGCTCCGCAGATTCTTTGCGATAATCCGATAAAAAAATTGTAAGTCATTTCACAGTGGTTGAATTATTATTAGAGGAGCAGCAAATGTAAAAAAAAAAACAAAAACAAAAAAAAACTTGACACTGGTGAACATTAATAAAAGTTCCCCTTTAACTTGTTTGGGGTCTCTAATCAATCAAACCCAGTGTCCTCCATCAGACCTCAGCCTCCATCCTCATGCCTCTCGACCTCCTCTTCGTCCTCATCATGTCTGACTCGTTGGAGGTTTTTGTTTTTTTGGATTCTTCATCGCGAGGTCGTGGCGTCGCTCGGCACCAGGAAATGGAGGCAGAGCGGCGGTGGAGGAGTTCGTAGCTGCGGGTCAGAACTGGGAGGAGGAGACACACCGAGACCGAGACAACCGGCGACGACTTCCAGCTCCGGGAGGTATCTCAACACCCACTGTTTCAAAAAAAAAAAAAAAAAAAAAACCATCGGGAAGTTTCTAAAATCTGAAACTTTCTCGTCGTTGAATCATCCGTAACATCCGGTTTCACGTCCGCGCTGCTACTGTTTTCGCTTGGTTTCCTCTCGCGGGGCTCGAACAGCGACACGGGGGGAGATTCCGCTCGAGCTCGTCAAAGTGAACTTTGTGCTTCACTCTCAGCTCGTGTCTGAGTCTCTGTCGTGCTTTCTTTTTTTCTTTTTTTTAATTTCCCTGAAACTCAAAGGCTTCGTGCATCCGCAGGAGAAGATGAGCGACGCGACTGACGCCAAAGTGGAGCTTTTTGTGAAGGTAAGAAACCAAACGAAGGAAAGAGACGCAGAAAGTGACGCAGAGACACGATGTGACTTCACTGTGTTTCAACTGCACACACACACACACACACACACACACACACACACACACACAGACAGACACACGCGATGGTACGTGTATCTTAGTGAGGACAATCACTGACAGGATGACTTCCTTTAGCCCCTTAACTTTCCAAACTGAACCCCTCACCCTAAAACTTTACACAGCTCATTGAAAAAGTGAGGACCGGTCAAAATGTCCTCACTCTGAAAGGGGTCTATATGCCGAGAAGTGTCCTCACGAAGATACAAGCACAGGAACACACAAACCAAGTCTTAACCAAGCCTGTGGATTTGTGAGGACCAGCCGAAATGTCCTCACAATGACTATCCAACTAAAATTGTCCGTCATAAGTGTAAAAACTCAGGTTTGTACTTCTACTGTCTCTCAGTGAGGACGCTCATCGGCGTTATGCCTTCCCTAGCCTCTTACCTTAACCATCACAACTGACTGCCCCACCCTAATCCGAACTCTAACCTCGACCTGAACCTAACTCTAACCCTAATCCTGACAACCAAGTCCTAACCCTCACACAGACCCGTTTAAAGACCTGCTCCAGACCCAGAACCTCCCAAAGATATTTGTTTTCGGTGCACACACGTGCAGGAGTGTTGATGTTTCTTATCTCATCTCTGTTATGTGTGTTTATGACACGCTGGTAACTTATCTCAGCCTGTGTTTTCATATCCATGTCAGTCGGACCACCTGCGCTGACTCAACACGCCCGTAAACCTCATTAGGACTAATCGAATTAAACGCACGTTAAGATAATGGGCAGTCGACTTTAACCTATATTTAGCATGCTAGCCAGGGACGGTTAATCCCATGTTGTTTGAGCTGTTGCTCCAACATGACCAATATGTCTCCCCCCTGCCTCCCCTCGTGGTCTCACACCAGTTTCAATAATGATTCCTCTGTATTAACATGTGAACACCGCCCGCTTCTCTTTTTGCCTCTCCTCCTTCAGGGGTGAAAGATGTTGATGTGATGTCTCTATAGACCCTGTTTTCCTCCCGGTCGCCCTCCTCCGCGACACTCGATACCTGTAATTAAAAGAATATCCAAGTATAGTTTCATGTGCACTGTGGTAAAAGTAAAGAGTTTCCTGAATTACTGTAGCTGCCACACAGGCCGCAGCACAGGCCCTGAGAGGAGGCACAGAGCGAGTGAACACGAGAAATGGCTTCCTACGGCCACACAAAGCACATTTTTACAGCTGTACAGTCATTTCCTGACAGGATGAAACGCTCCATTACTTTTGATTTATGTGGCCTCCTCAATATACAGCCGTTTTCATTATGGATTAATTGAAATGTTCAGAAGATGGTAAAGAAAGTACATTTTCAATTTGTATCTGATGTAGTTTAAATCTTTTGTCTGAAAATCCAAAATATTTTACAGTTTATGATGTTGAACAAAGAAAAGCAGCAAAAAGTCACAGATGAGAAAGTGTAAAAAACATTTAAAAAAGCTTCTTTACAATATTTTTCTGTATTGGGTCACTTATATGAATATAAACACATATATCGGTGTTGGACATATACACACCCGACACTTCAAAACCTAAAGATATGTATTTTATTATCATACACAGCTGAAATCAACATGTGAATTGGCAGAAGTTAGTTTTAAAATCAGTTGTGATGATTTCCTGATGTTATTTCATATTTGTTTTTGTTTGTCAGGCGGGGTGCGATGGCCAGAGCATCGGAAACTGTCCTTTCTCCCAGCGGCTCTTCATGGTGCTGTGGCTGAAAGGAGTCACCTTCGACGTGACCACCGTGGATATGAAGAGGTGAGAACACACTTCTCTCACCTGCCTGTGTGTGTGTGTGTGTGTGTTGTTTTATAATCCTTGCCTGTGCTGCAGGTTTGTTTTGGCAAAACAGAGGTATGTCCGCTGAATTCTCCCTAACGTACTGAGGCGTTCATTCGTTTAACAGCTGTTAAAAGATATGAAGCTACGCTGGCACATTTTTGCCACAAACACGAGTCATTTCCTTTTTTCTTCCGTTCTTCTCCTGCTGTTAAATCCTGTATCTCCTTGGATCCCTGTCCCTCTGACCTTTTCCTTTCCCATCCATGTCCAGGAAGCCTGACATCTTGAAGGACCTGGCTCCCGGCGCTCAGCCTCCCTTCCTGTTGTACGGCAGCGAGGTGAAAACTGACACCAACAAGATTGAGGAGTTCCTGGAGGAAAGTCTCTGCCCTCCAAAGTAAGTGTTGTTTTAAGAGCTGCAATGATTAGTTGATTAACACAAAATTAATTAGCAACTATTCTGATTATTGATTATTATTATTTTATATCATTTTTCCAAACAAAAATACTGAACAGTGATTAATGACTCAAGCTTTGTATTTTGTAAAATTCCCACAAATTGAATGTGAATCATTATCTTTCCATTGCTTAGATATCCACGTCTGGCCGCTCGTAACCCAGAGTCCAACACAGCCGGCATGGACGTCTTCTCCAAGTTCTCTATTTACGTCAAGAACTCAAAACCTGAGGCCAATGAAAGTAAGTGAGGACCAATCTTTCCAATGATGTATAATTAAATGTTGATCTTTAATTGACTCTGTTGTTATTTTGGTGGTGTTTTCTGTAACTAATGCAGCTGAGCTCCCCCCGACAGACAGGAAACCAGCAGGGAGCATCCGAGTTAATAACATTATGTCGTGAGCTTTTCGGCCTCACTGCAAACAGATCACCTGCTCCTCGGGTGTCGAGCCACTCTGAGTTGGCTGATCTCACAAAATTCACAAAAAAAGACGGCTGCATAGTCTGAACTCAGGGACAATTTTACTTCTTTAGCTTCAATCACATTTTGTGTCTGTGCTCGTGTGCTCAGATCTAGAGAAAGGCCTGCTGAAGGCTCTCAAGAAGCTCGACGACTACCTCGGCTCCCCACTTCCTGATGAAATCGACGAGAATAGCGCAGATGAGGTCACTTCCTCATCCCGTCCCTTCCTGGATGGCCAAGTGCTTACTCTGGCTGACTGCAACTTGCTGCCCAAGCTCCACATCATGAAGGTAATCTTCTGTTTAAAGCGCCGCAGCACAGGGATGGTGCCTGGGTTAAAAGCTTAGAAATCTACATGTCAAGTCTGAAACTGAAGGGTCGTGTCGTGCATGATTTATTGCCTGTGTCCACTACAGGTGGTGTGTTTGAAATACAGGAATTTCAGCATCCCTGAGTATCTAACGAACCTGTGGAGGTACCTGAAAGCTGCGTACGCCCGGGAGGAGTTTGCCTCCACCTGCCCGGTCGACGACGAGATCCACATCGCCTACTCCTCTGTAGCCAAAGCTCTCAAGTAGGAGGACGGCAGGATGCACAAGTCACACATACACCAGCAGAAAGCCACAAAAAGCACAAAAACAACACAACACACATTCAATCTGCAAGCAGCGTGATGGCTCTGATTCTCTGTTTCTGCAGTTTTTATGTCCCTTTCCTTGTTTTTTGCAGCTTTAAAAGTTGATTTCCCCTTTTTATAATATTAGATGATTCTGATGAAGTGTCATCCTCCTGCAGTCGTTTTGTATTTGTTCTTATTTTCTAATAAAAGGGAGGTGATTGTCATTCGTGGACTAAGAAACACTTCAGCACCGGAGTCAAATTAACTGATATAAAAGTAGTGCATACCTCCACCAAGGCTTATGTCCTTTCTCTCCATGTCAAAGCAGCGTTCACCATTAATTATGTAGACTGTTATCCATATTCTTCATATCCTACTTACGACTTCTGTGTGCAGAACTATCTGCAGCATGCCGCTATCGCCCATAAAGTTTTTACCGTCCATGCAGACAATTGGTCCTCATGGTTTCAGCTGCAGTCGTGCACTTATCCTCAAGTGGCATGGGATGTAGTTCTGTCTTGTATGTTCTGTCACTCTTAGTCTGTGTACCGTTCACGAATGGTTTCTTTCCTGACTCGTAACAACATCCGTCCACCAAGTTCGGTGATAATCCGTCCAGTAGTATCTGCGTAACCCTTACAGACAGAAAAACAAAGTGAAAACAGTTCCTCCTTGTCGTTCAAAAGTTCAATCAAGATTAAAGTAATAACATATCATCTGAGGTTTTCTGCACAACTCGCTCACGTTGCTTGCAGACACACACACACCTTCACACACTTTGAACTACAGCCCTGCTTGTGTACATTTTCACCGTCAGTAGATTCACACTGTAACGTTGGAAATGTTTCTTGTTCCCTTCTCGACAACGACAGTGGCTGCAGTTAATTCTTGATCTTTTTTTCATTCACGGAGAATTTAACAGACACGAAGCTGCCTACAAGATCCGACTTTCACTAGAACCTCACAAGCGTCTTACAAGCTGATCTAGCTCTTATTTTCCGTCTCGGTATTAGGAACATATTTTTTTAAATAACGATCCTAAAAAACTCAAGTTACCAGCTCACCTGCCAAAGTGTCGTTTGTGGTTTGTCTGTAATCACAGATGCTTCACATTTGAGTTGATTATTTCATTACTGAGGGATCAAGGCCTTGTACAGTCAAAACCTTTTTCTTTTCTTTTTTATTAAAGCCAACTTTCATTTAAACAACGTTTTAGTCTTTGTCTCAGAGAGGAGGGGGGTGCACACCAGGTGCCACATTAGGGAGGCAGAGCTGAAAACGGTTGTAGAGACAGGAAACGGTTTCAATAGACTCGGGCTTCCTCTTTCTCCGCTCCCACAGCAGGCGCGGAGGATTATTCAAGATTACCGAGCTCGTTTGTGATCCGCTGTCAGAGCCTCCTGCCAAGAAAGGGCTCCGCTCTGCCTGTCGTGTATGAAGTATCTTAGCGTAGTTGAAGAATCCTATGAATGAAGGAGATCGGGTCGTCAGTGGAGGAAGAGGTGAAGGTCTTTGTTGACTGATGAAGTTTTCAGTGCAAACGCTCTGCAGCAGCTCGAGCTCTGTCATGTTCCTCATGACGGGGGGGAAAAAGAGAAGTGAAATGTAAAAATGCACAAAAAAGATCTGCAGCCTTATGTTGCAGTTAGTTATTAATAATAAGAAAAAAGGCTCATGTTCTATTATCAGTAAATCCCATGAAAAGAGTTTGATAATCATTGATAACTTTAGCTCCACCCCTCGAAACTGAAATCATGCATGTATGGTAAACGTCGCTGTTTTACTTGTGGGACTTTCTAGCCTGAAGTATTTCCAAGTACCTGACATTTCAGTCGACACTGGTTTACGATGCACTGCTGGAAATCCTTTTTTTCTTTGCCACATAGATTTTTGTACTACCCGACTCTACTTTTCTACCTGAGTCTGAGATAGTTGTGTTGCTGTATGTTTCGGAACATCTCTAATAATCACTGGAGACCCTCTCAATCTTCTTCTAGCAACATCATCAGGCCAAAATTTCAAGTTGGTATTTTATGACCAGAGAATATTCCTGTCATTGTTCTTTTCATGGGGTTTGTTGACAATAAGAAAAATACAGAATATTACAAGTTGGCGTTGACGTGTTTGCTCATAATATAACACAGTCTGTACCAGCAGCTTGTGTAGAGGATTTAATAAACTGCAGGGCACCGTGCAAATTAACATTTACTGAGGCTGTTTGCAATTAAAACTTCATTTTAACCGTAGGTAGCAGTGGAGACATCTCCCAGATCCGGGTGAAGCACATAGAAGAAATGAAACCTAAGTGCAATTTATAGTGAAAAGACAATCCTGTGCACAGACTTTGATTTTAGACATGTGGTGTGAGCACAGTTTTAATGAAACATGTTGAACCCCCCCACCCCCACCCACATACTGTAATTCAAGTGTTGATCAAACAGAATGTTGTACTTGACTGAATTGTTGTGGATTTCATCTAGTTTCAAAAACTTTGAAAGGGATCGAGTCTGAATAATTTAATAGTAAATGTTTTTTAATATTTTCTCTCTCCAGACAAAGAGTTTTTCATTCTCACTGTAGGACTTCATATAGTTTCAGGGACCATTTAACCTGTTGTATTCATTTATTTACATTAGTTTTGTTTTTCACTTCACTGTTTTAAACCCTCATTTTTTTTTTTTAAATCTTCATCTGTATCATGTATGGGACCTATATTGTGCTTTTCACTTTGTTTCCTGCCGCTTTGCATTTTCCTTCAAATATTTTAGCCTTTTGTTTTGTGTTTTTTTTTTTACCCCCGCCTGTTTGCCATGTAGTCTGAAGCAGTTGCACTTAAACGTCCACGGGATCAACCCGGTGGTGTGGACATTAAAAAAAACAATAAAACTAATAGCTCAGCAGAAATGTATTTTATACTAAAAAAAACACATTTATTAATGTCCCAATAAAAATATCTTGATGACAAAGCAAACTGTGACAAATGTGTTCTTATCTTTAATCAGAGTCATTTTAACATTGAGATGGAAGAAAGTGTCAAAAAAGATGCAAAAGAGAAATTATCTATTTAAAGCAGTGCATTAGAATCTTGTTGTTAAAAAGAGTAACTTTAAATGTTTACATGTGTTTAGAGTCTGTTCTGGTTTTAAAGTGAGCAGAAAAAGGAGAAACGTTTATATTTGTGCAGGCAGTGATGAAGATGAACAAACAGAAAGAATAATATAAATGTTTCCGTTTTTGATAGTTGTAATTCAAAAGGTGTGTAAAAAAAAAAAACTATTAAATATTGTAGCATATCTTTTTATAGGCTTTAAAATGTATTTCAGTAAATCACTACTTATTAATAATTTTAAAACTTTTTAAAAGCAGAAATGTTTCAAGTCTTCTTTCGTGCCCATGTGCGTCTTCATACATCTTCTCCAGATGATTTCTCTCAGGGCTCCTACATCTGATGGTTCCAGCTTCAGGCGAGCAGCAGAGCGAGTGCAGGCGCGAGGCAGAGAGCGACTCCTCTCCAGCTGAGGGCAGCAAAGGACACGGCACCGTTGCACAGGTCAGTGTCACAGCAGACGTTGGTGTAGTTGAATTCGAGGCCCGAGGCGTATTTCTGTCCGCTCACGTCACACTGACCGGGAACGGCACAGCTCTTCTCGTACATCATCACCTGTAGAGATCCTGTGAGAGCAGAGGGAGGAGAAGAGAAGATTGATATTAAAACAATTAAATAAAAAATTGAAATAAATAAATTAACGTTTATTTTCTCATTCGCAGTACCCATCTTGATTCAGAGGTAAGACTGACTTCAGGAGGAAATATTCTTATTCTTAAGATAAGACAACATGTTTACTCAAGTGATCCTGTGTCACGGTACAGGAAGCACCAGAAAAACAAGAAGTAGATTAATATCAGTTTCCTTTATTCAGCTTTTCATTTATAGGAAGTAAAGTCCCACCTTACTTTTTTAAAGAATACTTGGCCTTTACTTGGTGAACAGTGATGGAACTGTAGTTACATTGAAGGATTACAGCTTCTGTTCATTTCTTTGGGTCTGGGTGTAAACACATATGTTTAAACTAAAAGATTAAAGTCAGCTTTTCTCTTCAAATCCAGACGTCTGCAGAAGAAAACGAAACAAAACTGTCTTCATAAATACAGACGGTACATTTCTCAAGTCCCAGACAGTTCTCTGCACAATGAGCCTTTGTTTGCTCCTTCATGACCATCGTGCCCTCGATTCTCAGAAAATCTCCTCATCCACAAACTCTCTCACACACACACACACACACACTGACATCCATGTTCACATATATTCGTGTGACATTACCCCTTAAACCTTATTCTAACCAAACCCTGAAACCACAACTTGACGTTCAAATGTTTGGCACCCAGCATTTTAGTCCCCACGAAGCACGTAGACATGTACGTTACCTCGTTTTCCTATTGCAGTACTCGACAGGCAGCGCTGCCCGGCCGGACACTCCTGAGGAAACCTGAGGCAGTCCAGAGGAGAGATGGCGGGAAACACACATGTGTAACATTGCAAACTGGCTGATGGGAAAAATAGAAGGAATTTAAATTAGTTATTCAGAGTGAAGTTTGTCTGATTCAGGATATAAATAAGAACATAAACAAGCCAGTAATCTGGCTCCTAAAGATGATGTGTACTTTTTCAATTACCTCTAACGCAACAAATTAAATTCATGTAACTCCACTCACTCGTAGTTATCAGTTCCCTAAATGTTCCTGATTTATTTAATATAAATCCATGATTCCCTCGGAAAATGTTGAAAAATGTCCCAACTCGCAATGATAAAGAAATTAAAAACAAATTCCTGGACCCCCACCCCATTGATTAGGATCAACACCAAATGTAATGGATTCTTCTCTGACCCACACCACATGCTTCCACCGAGTTTCCTGAAAATCCATTCTTTTATTTTTGTATAATCTTGCTCAGAAACAAACGGGCAGAGGTGAAAACATAACCTCCTCTGTGGAGCTGATGAACCAAAAACTCTTTAAATCCACTTGTAATAATTCCACCAGTGAGATTAAATGTACATTCCCTCCACTCTGTCCTCAAACATTAGTCTGGCGTCCATATGAACACTGAATCTTTTCAAGATGAGGGACCAGATCCACAGTCCTCGTTTTGTGCAAATGTGTTTTCCAAAGTCCATCTGTAGTAGATTTATCTTAGTGAACAAAATAAATAATCAGGTCCTCTGTTTCTTGCACAGACAACAAATTGAAGAAGAAACACTGTTTACACTATAACGGTCAATGTCAGTCACATACCTGCCAAAGGAAGACAACACAGGAAAACAACAAGAAGCTGTTTCATGATTCTTCCAGTGAGACGTCTCCAAAGGTTTTCAGATAACGCCTCCAGCTGCTTGATACAGAAAATACACAGAAAATAAAATCCCCTCCTGTCTCAAAGGTCGATCACTGAACCAGCTGCAGCTGATCTACGCCCTCAACTTGTTCCTAAACTCAATTAATTTTTCGTAAAAGTCCAAACTCTCTGCCTCGTGTTGACAATTTCCTCTTTTTTTTTCTTGCACTTATTGTGTTGGTGCACCTCCTCACATATTATCAGCGCCCTGAGTTTTTCTTTTTCTGCCACTGTTGATTTTTCTCTCTGGTGTAATTTGAATGCTTGTGTTGTCCGGGCCGTCAGCGTCTCCTCCCTCAAACTTTAATTCAGAGTTAATTCTGATCAGCTGACGGGGAGGAAGACGGATTGAGAATGCAAATGATTTATATCTAAAACAAATTCACTCTGCAGTTTGTTTTTAATTTGTTATTAATGAGCCAACAAGAACAAAGCAAATGAGACAAGTACATTTTCTCTGTTCTCTGCTTTGACTTTGACTTTACTTGAGTATTTCCATTTTCTGTTACTTTATACTTTTACTCCCTGACAATTCGTAAACTTACTTGTCGGGATTTGTTTTTGCAGATAACTTTCAGACAAAGACTGAACATGTGGAAAACTCTCATGCTAAGTTTCATGACCTTATAAAATACAATGCACCATTCAAGACGAAACCAAATTTAAAAATTACAACTTTAAATGTGTGATTGCTGTTAAAAGACCTTTCACTGGGTTAATACACTTAAGAAATTCTGAATTTCTCTCTAAAAATTACTGACCATTTTTTATTCACAGTCACTTAACTTTATTTACTTTAACGTGACAAGCTGAGAAAAACCACTCCCAGGTACAGTTATTGTTCTTCCATCTGAATTTTGACCATAAACATTTATATTTCCAGTTATTTACAGACAGACAAAGTTTTCCTGGGAAAAATGTTATACGAACAAATTGGTGTAAAATTACTTTAGATGTAACGAGACTGTATTTTATATTGTTGTATATATATGAAGTAAAGTCAGAGTCCGAGTGAGGGAAGAGTCAGCAGATATAGAAACAGAGAGAGAGAGTCAGTTTAACTGAATTATCCTTCAGCCTGTAATGGGAGACGTGAGGCCAGCATGCAGGACAGTCTGCTGACAGCAGTCTTGTGATGGAGGAAGCCGAACGGGCTCAGACTGACTAAGCTGTTTACCACTTAATTAATTACACAGAGAAAAGCCTGAAAAAATCCTGAAGACGAGCGTGTGAGGAGGATGACGAAACCATCAGAGCTTTGAAAAGGTCGTAAATGTCGTGTAGATGCTATGACGTAATGCTGAAGTTTGTTGTTAAAGCAAACGTTTTATGAATTGAGTTAAAGCTCCTCTGTTGTACATTCTCAGAGATTCTTCTTTTTTTATTCTCACGTGGCTGAGGACAGAATATTTTTCTTAACTTCCTCGAGAAATGTGTGATCAAGAAATTTATATTTTGCTAAATGAAAGGAGGAACCAAGTTCTCTTCAGTCAGATGAAAAAAATAAAGATTAGAATCTGCATTTGTTGGTTCTCGAGCACGATGACAGTAGAAGTGAACACGTGCAAATGAACGATCAGTTTCCTCCAGTCGTCACTAATGAATCTGAAAAACTTCCACCATGTCCTCATAAATATTGACAGCTCCTCTAAAATGAAGCCAAAGTGTATTGTTGCCCCCTGGTGGCTGGGATGCAGTATAGGTCACAAATTCCACCTCCTCCATGTAAGTGGATAGGACCAAAAAAAAAGACAAATATGTTTTTTATTAATTATGATTTCTATCGTTTGAGGTACTTTTTTTTTTTTTATCAAGTGTTAATTCTTCCTGTAAGTTTGGTTGTGTTTAGTTTTTTGATGATTAAATGACCCAATCCACACTCTGCAAGATGGCGGTGTTCGTATCCAGGGTATTTTGGCTCAGTTTCTGAAAAGTGGAAGGATGTGGACTCACGTCGTCCGTCTTTATTTACAGTCTGTGTTTCAAACTTGAGTTTATGTGGGACTCCACGTCATCCATACAAACTACATGTGTTGTTGTCTCTATGAATTCATTCTAAGAAAATTCAGTCCAGTTGTAATGTGTGAGGACAGAAGTTTTCATGACATTCTAACTGTAGTGTTGTGTTTAAGTGCAGCGTGTTAAACCCAGTGAAGTGATATTTGACAGGGATGTTTTCTGTCCTGGCTGGATCTCTGTGGACAGATGGTTCTTTAATCCCGTCTGTGTCCTCTACCTCCCATCCCCCACCCCTCCCTCTCCACCCCTCAGCTTTTACACAACCCTCACATTTCTTTTACTGTTTACTGGTGATACACTGAGGTCTTTTCTTTCTTATTTTGTCACCGTCTGGCCTCCGCATCTCTGACGCTCTGTGGCTGAGCAACCTGGAGCTGCTACAATTCAGCCATTTCAAAAAGCCATCTGTTACCTGGGACGTGTTTCTGCATGTCACCGCTGTCCAAATGTACAAATATCACATTTGCCATAAACAGGTCTGCAGGTTCATCAGACGGCACAACAAACAGCAGAGCTTCTCCTCTGGGGTCCGACGAGGGAACCTGTTTAATCTCAGTCTCTGCTGAGTCCAACGTCATGTGACCCGCATTTCCAGGAAAGCCAGATTATAATTTTTTTTGGCCGTGTCACACAGACAAAAACAGACAGCGAGGGATCAGTAATACAGAGTACAGGCCTTAATCTATGATGAGTTTTATCAGAGGGAGAGGAGAAGGATGAGTGAAGGAGACAAGCTTCAAACTATTTATTCACACAGGTCAAATAAATCAACTGTGACCTGGTAAATTAACAATTTATTTAAAAACTACAATCTGTCATTAATGCAGTATTTTAACACAAGGTAAAGAGTAAAGAGAAGGAGTCAAAGTAAAGATGTTCAGAGTGGGGCCCTGTTCTTTTTATATCATAATCATGTTAAATTAACCCGGTCTCTTTTTTACCTCAAATGGTTTCATGATTTTCTTGTTAATAACTCGTGGGTTTTCGGTCAAACATGGTAACAATGGTCAAAGCCAGGCACAATTCAAAGTTCTAACGTGTTGATGTTAACATGTTAACATGTTAACAGCCTTGTGTGTTACTTCACACTATCAAAGTTCAATAAAGTCCAATTCTAGACACAGTAAAGTCACAATACAGATTTAGATTTGTGTGAAATCAACTAAAGATAAAAGTTTCCTCTCATGTTCATCTGAAAGTGTTTTAGTAAAGTTATTGATTTTAAAGTGCTTGGTTGTGTTTGTTTTGATTAAATAAATGAAATCAGACAGTTTTGGTAAAGCTGACTGTGGAGGACACAACTCAAATCAACGTTGATTGGATCCGGACAGGACGTGTGGGGGATGGGGGGTGAGGGGGGTGAGGGGGGGGACTGTTGGGGAGAGATTTGTCAAATTCACTATTAATACACGAACAGGACCGGAAGCTGAACCATTCTATTTTACAAAATAAGAGCATTGTGTGATTCTGTGTTTTTACTTCACATCACAGTCATGATTAAATTCAAACAATCAGGAGTGGAGGAAACATCAGAAAAACACGGTGTAGTATTATTCTATATGCTTCTGTTGATGATTGTTTGAAATGTTTAACAAGAAGCAAACATGTCACAATTTAATGTATGACATCAAAAAATGCATTTTATAAACGTGTATGTATGTATGTGTATTTTTGCAGTAAAGTGTTGACACAATGTGTCAAGTTCATTAAGAGGAAAATACTTAAAGTAAAGTAGTCAAAGTAGGTCAAATATGCACTCAGGTACAGTTCTTGTACTAGAATGTACTAGATGCTTTTCAATATTGGACAAATGTTTATTTTTTTATATTTTATCTCCTTACATTGTAAGAATTGCATCATTATTATTATTATAAATATTATTATTATTATTATTATTATTACTTTACTGGTTCTTTTATTTTATTCCTGCTGTGACCGGAAGCACTCGGCTCCACGGCGGCCATCTTGACAGGTGTGTGGGGGCGCCCGGACTAACGGAGCGGGGTCTGTCAGGAAATTAAATCACTCCGGAGGGAAACGAGGTCGAGCGGCAGGAATCGAACTTTAAACCGGGTGAGCGACCGACACACCTTGAACTCGTCGTCATGTCAGTGACTCGTGTGAATGTTGAGCCCAGTTTGCTGCTGTTTTGTCGGGAGGAGACGGAGTTGGTCGGCGGGGCGGTGCTCCGCTGCCCCTCCGCTCCTCCAGATGCGTTTTGTTCTGGCTGATGTTCACCTCGGTCTCTGCAGCTGCACAAAACAAACACACCCTTTTTCCCCCTCCAGAACCCAACGTGCTGCTGCTGAAGGAAAATCCCTTCTAAGTTTTTAAAACTCATTTTTAAAGTGTTTAAAAGTTAAAGAGGTCTTTTTTCCAGGAAACATCCTGTGTGGAAGTGTCTCAGTGGGAGTCTGGAGGTTTACAGGAACTTGATGAAAGAGTGATTGTCCCACACGTGAACCAGAGTCCAGAAGAGGAAAAGATCCGCAGCAGATTGTTGGAATAATGTTTCTTTATAATCTGAGTCTGCACAATGATCCTGTTGTTCAGGTTCAGCTCAGTTATCTGTCTCTGGTGTTTCAGCTGCACTGGGATGGTTTTATTATAATAATAGATTTTATTTAGCACCTTTCAAGACATGAAATCGTTTGGGTAAAAAGCATAAAACTAGTAAAAGGTATGAAATAAAGACAATGGTGTTTTTAAAGTGAATTAAAAGCAGGATCGTAGAAAAAGGTCTTGAGTTGTTTGTTATCGACAGAAGTGTCTTGTCTGATGTGTGGTGGGAGTTTCCTCCAAACCTTCGGTGCATTACATCAGAAAACTGCTTCCAGAAACCTGTTGTAGTTCATTTTTGTGACATTTAGCAAGAAGAGCTGAGGGGACGGTCAGACATGCATGAGAGTGCTGCACCATTAAGAGACTGAGGGTCAGTGTAAAGACACTAAAACCAGAGTAATGTGATGTTCTTTTCTTTGTCTCGTTAAAACCCTGGCTGCTGACTTTAGTACAAACTGGAGCTGATCACTGGATTTGTTTTCAGTAGTCCAGGTGAGAAAGTATAAAAGCGTGTTGTGAGTGATAAATGATAAAAGGCAAATCTTGTGTGAAATGTTAATGTGTGGATTCATATCTAGTTCTGAGTCAAGTGTAACATCCAGGGTCTTAACTTTAGATTTGTTTCCATGGATTTAATTAACTAAGTCTTAAAAGTAAATTTCTTCCACGTAATCTTCAATCTTACCACAGAAGAAGAAGCCTTTAGCTTATTAAATAAGTGTTTTGTTTTATAATGAATAGAATTTACATTGAAAACTTTCTTGAAATGCAGGTTTAGATGAAACTTTAAATTAGTTGATCAAACGTGCACAGAACAGCAACACGACCACATGTAAACACGTCTGGTGTCAGAGGTGAACGACATAAAACCACAGCACAAAGACAACAGAGCAGGAGTGGAGGAGATGAGTCGACTGCTCTTTACGTCGAGTGGAGACGTTCACCCCAAATGTCTGAATCAGGACAAAACATGTGTCTCTTAAACACAAACAATTGGTGGATGCTAGCAGTTACTAGATATGAGTACTACTACTGACTTAATCAACAAGGTAATCATGGTGGTTAAAGACTGAGACGGAAAAACTGTCGGGAGTCATTGTGTTTGGCTGTTTCCTTGATGTGTCTGTTTTCCTCTCTCTAAAGCTGAGATCATCTACTTCCATCTCTCGGCAGACGGAGGAGCAGCCGGTGAAGTGGTGCGATGACAGAGGAAGCACAGAGACGTAGATGCTCTCCGCTCCCCTCTGGACCTCCTGATTCATCCGATTAGCTTCAGCTACAGCTCGTCTCCCTTCATACACAGCCACATCTATCTCACTGGCTCATTTTGGCTGAACACTAACACTCGCTACCACTTTACAAACAGCCCCTCTGTAAAAACATGGCCAACATGTGCCCATATGGCCGTTTCACCCACGCCGTGGTGCGGAGCGTCCCAGAGACCTTTGGGAAGGCCGCGGCAGACGCCCGTGAGAACGGAGAGGCCTTGGTGGACCTGGCCAAAGCTCAGCGTCAGTTCGGCTGCCTGACGGGAGCCCTGAGGCAGAAGGTGGGCCTGCAGCTCATCGAGATCCCCCCCGACCTGGACCTCCCAGAGAGCTGGAGGATAGAGGATGTGGTGGTCATCCAGGGTGACACGGCGCTCATCACCAGGCCCTTCAAACAGCAGAGACGCAGCGAGGTAACACCGGGAGGGGAAAGAAAATGCTTTTAGTGACCCGCTTCCTCTAATCTTCTGATAAAGCACTTAATCTTGCTTTGTGAGATAAACAGGCAGCGAGGAGAAGCCTTTTGTTTATGTTCCAGTATGAAGATGAACTGGCGATGAATTATCTTTCACAGTTCCAGTATTGACACATAATTAAAAAGAGGAATGGGTGGATTTAGTTTCCTTTGATACTTGAGAGGAAAATGCAGAAAACAACCTGTTAAATACGACAGATTCATTATTGTGACACATTATTCAAAAGCTGTTAATCAGTGTGTTGGTTGTAGGAAATAATGGACCAACTACATAAAACATTAATAAAATATGAAAGCTTATTTAACACTAATATTTTGGACAAAACAGCAACAATTAACTTTGGGAAAAAGCTCAAAAGCCCCAAAAACTTGAATTAATTGTTCAGCTATTATTGGCGATTGTCTTTTTTATGTACGTTTTGATTATTTGCTTTGTTGTCCCTCTCTCCGTGTCTCCAGGCGGAGGCGGTTAGGAGGGTGATGTCGGAGCTGAACCTGACCGTGGTAGAGATGGGGAACGAGGAGGGCGACTCCGGAGGAGCCACGCTGGAGGGCAGCGACATCCTCTTCACGGGGAGGGAGTTCTTTGTCGGCATCTCGTCCCACACCAACCGCAGAGGAGCCGAGGTGCTGGCAGACACTTTCAGGGTAAGAGGTGGATGCATGAATGTGAATGGGTTAGAGTCCGACCTCTGGCTGCGTCTGTGAAAACATCAGACAAAAGCTTCTCAATAAACCGAGAAACAACCAGTGGAGTTTCGGTTTGTCGTCAATGCAACACAGATGGTTCCACTGCCAAGATTCGTGTCACAAGATGAAGCCCTACTGCCAAAGTGAGCAGGTGGCCACTTGCTGCAATGCATTAGGGGAATTATAGTCTGTAAACAGTGATGAATGAGGTTGTTCCATTGTCCAAATAATGGAGCCCACACAGAGGGACCCTGGGGCCCGACACGACCCACACATCAGTATTGATTCCCTCACTTCTCTTAAGTGCATGTCACACACTTCTGTTTTCAACACACACACACTTTTCATGAGTGTGTGTTGGGTGGGGGTTTGTGTGGGTGTTGTCAGTCTGGTATAAATCTGTGTGTGTGTGTGTGTGTGTGTGTG